CTTGTTTGGCTTGAGCTACTCTTCCAACAGGCAGTTTGCTTTCCTTTTGAACAACTCTCAAAAGCTTGGCTCTAAACTAATGACAAGCTTGATGTCTGGAGTTGCAGGTTAGATATCCTATAGTTTTCCCTAAACACCAAACTTTCCTGGAGTGGTTATGATGTCTCTCCAGAAATCCAAAGTTTCAGGCAAGAAAGCAGCCACAAGCAGTTTTTCTTTGGGATTGTTTTGAGTTCTGTAGTTTCATGAATACCCATCCAGAACAGATGTAGGGTAGGCCTTGCCATGTTGGACCCATTGGCAATAGACAGACAAGGTAGCCCACACTTTCAAAGTAGAGCTATTTTCCTTTAAAGTCATGTTTTCCAAGCCAGAAAAGATCATTAGATCACCATCATAACTGATTGCTTTGAATACCTGCATGAAGGTGTATATTCTGTAATGACGCCCATTTTGTTAAGTTACTCATATTGAACTCTTCAGCTACAAAGGTTTTTTCTCCAGTCTTCAAACTATTTTTGACTTTTTTTTCCCTCATATTATCTGTTTTTTTACATAGCCTTAATCAAATGCAAGTATCTGTAAATATGGATACAGCATTTGTCCACTATTCTACACAGGAAAAGCCCACCTTCAAAACCTACTCGCTCTCAAGTAGACATTTAAGTTTGCGGGATCTGCCCCTCAGTCCTTTAGTCTTAGTTTACAATTGTCTCCCAAAACTTCCACTGTTCAAGCAGTTGTGCCCTGATCAGCAAGATCAAGTACTTTTCCCTTAGTGAAGGAAATTACAGAAAATACTGAAGAAAGGCAAAAAGAAGGAAAGAAAATAGACTATTACTCTGGTAAAATGATGACAGTGCATGGGAAGGATTGACATAAAAGAGGAAAAAAAAGTAGCTTTCTTAGAAGTTAAACAGTCACGAGAAAAGCTATTTTCGCTGCCACTTCAGAAAGGGACTTCTGAATTTAAAGAATACTGCAATAATCTAGTTATGTGATTTAAGATGAAATAGAAAGCTAAAGTATATGTTGTCACTTTTTTCTTTAATGAAACGCTACACTTAAATGTCTTCATTTGAAAATAATCTGTATGTGGGTTTTTTTTAAAAATAGCATCAACTTGGTAGAAAAAAGAGGTTCACAATGTGCTTATGGCTGACTGAATCTGGAGGTTAGCTAAGATGTTATCTCTGCTTGTCAGTCCAGTAGTGCTGTTGAATGCAGTCTCCACAAGAATGATGATGCAATTCATACCTTTAGTCCTTTTTTATTTCAGAGTTTAAAGAAAATTTGCTGGTGTACTGTATGCTTTGTTAAAAGAAGAAATTGAGAGTACAATTTCATGTTTTTATTTATTATGAAAAGCATAGAATTCTATTTCCTCACATATATAAAGAATCAAATAACTTGAGATGGTCAGATTCATCATAATCCCAGGCCTCTTCTGGCTTTCAGATGTTTTTCTGTGTCCTCGAGATCACACCATTAATGCCCCCGTCCTGCTATCTTCATCTCCTCTTGTCACATCTTCCCAGCTCCACTTTGCTGCCTGTACTTTTTACACACCTTTGTTTAGGGTAGTGATTGCCCAGTTTTGCTGGAGGCTCATATTGTTGTGGCTACCTAATTCCAGAAAACAACTCTATGGCTTTTTATAACTACCTTAAATTAAGGGTAAATTCAAAAGATTTAATCCAAACTATAACTTCATGAACACCCTCTACAAGCAATTTTCACAATAACCATATTTTTTCCTTAGGGTGTTATTTTGAGGCATCACAATTTTACCTTCAAATTTCTAGAACCCCTGAGAAAATAGCAAAGGAACAGGCACCCATTGCACATGAATAACGTGGTTGATCTCCACTACTGTATAATAAATTCAATGCTTTAATGACATCACACATCCCGTCTAATATAAGTGAAGCAAGCTAATATATGTGAATGCCAGCCATTCCAGGAAGGGCAGCGTTAGGCCATGCTCAGACAACTTGGCTTGGCACAACACCAGAGCAAAGGAGCAACTTGGTTCAAGCAAACCTCATTGAAATTGCTGGCAGGATGTTCCATCATCTTCATTTACAACTCCTGAAAGTTGTTTGGTCAAGACATTTTAAATGACAATTGGCAACATGTCCCTTTTGCCTGTAATGAGTTGTTTGAGCATGACAGAAATTCGCATTGAAGAGAAGTCAGCATTAAACTAGCAGTGGACACATGTAGCTCTAAAGTAAAGCACAGATGACAAAAACTGACAGTTAGATCCATTTCCTTAACCAAGAAGCAGCACCACAGAGCCAGGAGAAGTTGAGCTAAGCCAAGTTTCCATTGCAGTTTACCATGGAGTATTTACAATGTGGGAATACAAAGATTATGGCTGTAGAGCAAGGCATACAGAACTTTTCTGAGCAGTAAGTTCTCAGAGAAACTGATCTTGAGACAAATACTCTGTCTTAATTACTTTAAATTAAAATTCTGTGTAATGCTATTTAGGTCACCTGAGTATCTTAAAACAGTTAAAGATTTACAGTCAGATGTAATTACATCAAACTTTCCAAGGGATTTCCAGTTGTTCTCTGGAATTGATGCATAGCATAAGGATAGCTGTCTGGAGTTTTGTACATAATAGTATTTTTATACATGTTTGCATTTAAAATGTAGTCTATATAAAATACAGGCATTTCAGATTTAATTTGCATGCTATTTTACAAGGGAAGAAGCCCAGAAGTTCCAGTTATCTGATGGTTTGGACATTGAATTCTGAAACAGGTTATTGCTTTAATTCTAGACTAATGTGTTCCATAGCCAAAAACAGGGGAGAAGAGTTGCCTAAGTTTTTATTTTAAAGTTTGATTTTTTTTGCCTACGGGCCCAGTACTGTGCTTTACCAAGTGTCTTCAGTCCCTTTAGCCATGGTGGGAAGTGGTAGTGCGGATCCTTCTCTGTGGGTTCCAGCCTAAGGATGATTTTATAGTTGAACAGGGTCTTACCCTTGGGTGGGCCTTGGTTTAGCTTTATTTTGGAAGTGAACCAGAATATTTTCCAGTACTGGTATAGCCGTGGTTGAAACAGTTTTCCTTCTCCATTTGCTGCACAAAGTTAGCCGAAGCACAGCCGCTCTGATTGGGATGAGAGATTACAACAAGGTTATAGTGGCTCTTTCACTCTCCAAGATATGTGCACAGTGTTGATAAAACAAATCTTGCATATCTTGTATGTCCATGTTTCCTTGCTAGCCCTAGCCATCCTTCTGATGCCGTCACTCAGAGGAACACTGTCTCCAAGACGGAGGAAGAAGCTCTCTGTAAGCCTCAGACTCAAGGAAACTTCTCTTACTTTCCCACAGGTCCTTGCAAGTGGCTGAAGCTGTTTTCAGGATATTGATAAATTTTCAAGATGTCAAGATAATATTTTAAATTTTCTTTTTCAAGCCTTTGTTCCTTGTCTTTGTCAAATCCCGACCCTGATAAGAATCTTTTCTGTGATGATGGCGATTTTTTATTTAGAAAAATTAAATATTGGTATGGGAATTGTAGATGCATTGCTGTATCACAGACACCTAGAAGCTCTTAGATTTGAGAAAAATCGAAATTCTTCCCTTACTCTTAAAGCAATTTCTGTGGAAACTCAAACATCATCAGATAAGGCAAGCGTGTTGAGCATTATAAAATATAGCCAGAGGGCCTTTTATGTTATACCTGTCATGTATGTCTTTTTCTTGTTATTGTCCCATCATTCAAATATCCTCAAGAGAGCTGCTAAGTTTGTGTTAATACACAAATAATAAACAAGTTTGTCACAACAAACTTGCTGTGACAAAATTTCATATGTTCCCATGTGTCCATTCTTCTTCTCAAGTAAGCACAATTTAGGTGATACTGCTTGTGGATGCCCATGGATTCAGAAAACAATTACCTTCTTTCCAGTCTTTTGTGCCAAAAAAGCAAACAGAGCACTGAGTATCATCAACATGAAAACAATAGCAACTGCATTGGAAAAGAGGAAGAAGGTGGTCAAGCAATAGAGAAGGAAATATAAGGATTTTAAGATCATTCCTTGGAGGAATGGGGCCGCAGCACTCACCACTCCAGTTTCAGTGTGAGGAGCTGTCTCCTTTCCAAATGCCACAGAGAATCTGTCATTTTGTATTTAGCAGAGGCTGTGAAATCGCACTTCAGTAAAAACGCATTTAAGAGAAACACAACAAACTGGTAACTGAAGAGGTGACAAGGTTAGATGGACAACACCGGCCTCCATATTGTGTTGTATTTTATCAAGTGCATTAACATAGGCAGAGGCCTTTGCCAAAACAGGTCTTAAAGAGGTTTCAAAACAAAATACCCAAACTGGATCCACAAAGGTATATGTGTTTTCCTTTTTAACAGTTTCCACAGACAGCATCATCTAGAAGTTTGCCAGGGAAAGCTGGAGCACAGAGATTAGGTAACCTCGGGGAAAGGAAGCAGCTCCTGGTGTCTGTGTGTGCAATGAGATACCTGTCAGCTCTTCACAAACGAACCTGGTGTTCAGGGAGCTCACTTCAAAGAGCCACTTCAAATGCTGAAAGAATCACATCGATTTTACAAAAACAAACTTGCAGTACATCTCAGAAAGAGCTGTCTAGATGCCTGTCTCATATTGAAATCTTTAGAGCATAACAACAGTTACGTGCGTTGCCATATTTACCGGTTTTCCCAGATTCCCAAATCCACCGCCTTGGCTGGACTCCTGCCCGGCTGCCGGGGGCGGAGCGGGAGCGGGGCTGAGGGGGCGGACGGGACATCCCGCTCTGGTGTCCGTCCCGGTGCCTCGGGAAAGCAGCCGGAGCCTGCGGCTGCCTGTCCGTGCGGTGGGAAAGGGAGCTGGGGAGAAGTGCGCGGGCTCAGAGAGGAGCGACAGGAGAATGCGTAAAGGAAGGAGCGCTGCCGCGGAGGGGGTCGGGGCGGCTCGGCTGCCCGGCGGGCGGGAGCGGCCTCAGCGGTTCCCGCGCGGGTCCCTCAGCGCGGCGCGGCCGCGGCGCTGGCGCCGCTCCCCGTGGCCGTGGCCGTGGCCGTGGCCGTGCCCCGGCGGCGCGGCAGCTGCGGGCAGGGCGGGGCGGCGGCGGCGCCCGCGGCGGCGCTGGGGCGCGGGGCGGCCCCCGGGCCCTCGGCGCGGGGCAGCACGGAGCGGGCGGCCCGGCGGAACTCCTCGCTGCGCCACGTGTAGAGCAGCGGGTTGAGCGCCGAGAGCGAGCAGAGCAGCAGCCAGCTGGCGGCCTGCAGCGCCGGCGGCGCCGGGCGCAGGAAGAAGCCCAGGAGGCTCACCCACACCAGTGGCTGGGTGCCCAGCAGGAACACGCAGCAGAGCAGCAGGACGGAGACGCTGCTGAGGCGGCGCTGGGCGCGGCGGGGCGGCGGCGGGGCGGCGGGGAAAGGCAGCTGGTGGAGCAGGTGGAAGTTGAGGACGCTGACCCGCTTGGCGCTGCCGCGCACCCGCCGCACGATACCGAGGTAGCAGTGCAGCAGCAGCGCCGTCTGGCCCAGCACGGCCAGGGCGAGGAGCAGGGCGGTGTAGCGAGAGCTGCCGTCCGACTGGGCCGAGCCCAGGGTCCAGAGCCCGGGCAGCAGCGGGACCGGGAGCAGGGCGAGGGCCCAGGAGAGCCCGATCATGCAGCCCGTGTGCTTCCGCTGGTAGAGGGCCTGGTACACGCTGGGCAGCTTGGTGATGAGCACGTACCTGTTGAAAGCCACCAGCAGGTGCGAAGCCAGCGAGACGGTGAGGCCGAGGCCCAGGAGCCCCCCTCGGAGCAGCCGATACTCCGCCGAGCGAAGGGAGGAGGAATTGGGAGGCAGCAGCCCCAGCACAGCCTCCTGGGGCATCCACAGGGCGCACACGCTTAGGTCTGCCGCACAGCCGTTCACGATGAAGGCATTGCTGGTTGTCTGCAGCTTCTTGAAGGAGAAGACTAAATAGATGACCATCACATTGGATAAAGTCCCTGAGATAGCTAAGACTGCGTAGAGCAGCGAGAGAAAGATGCGGGTCCCGGAGGAGTCCTCCCAGAGCAGCAGCAGAGGCGAGCTAGCACTCCAGGAAGAGGCGTTGGGCATCTCGCTGAATGCAGCTCAGTTTTGACTTTGCCCTGTAAATCCCATCCTTGTCTGGGTCAGAAGTTCAGCTGCAGGAGTCCTCACCAAGCACACGGGAGGATGTGCAGCTGAGAGACTCTAAGGCAGGTTTCAGTCATACAAGCTGCAAGGTGCAGAAAACACAGTTTGCAGTAACGATCCAAAGAACAGCAGTGTCCAAGGCAGGTAGGCAGCAAGAGATTCCACAGATTGTAGCTAGTGAAGGTGGGTCCATAGGGAGGCAAATGGCTGTTGGCAGACCAGAGCACGACTGAGGTTTCTGTAGCTGTGAAAACACCAAAAGCAGCAGCACCTTGCAATCGGCAGCAGGAACGGCAGCAACTGATACAAAGCTTTGCAGTTTCTCCTGTGCCACAGTACGCACACTGTATATCATTCCAGGAAGATTCAGCCCTTCCACTCTTCATGAATTATTCAGCAGATTTTCAACTTGTTAAATCAAGAAGAAAAAAAAAAAAACCAAACCCTATCATGCTCCAGAAATACTCCAACTACACAGTCTGACTCTTTTTTTCCCTACCTTACCAGTTTTCTGGTTCTAACCCATTTACACAACTTTCATTTGAAGCAAGGTTTCAAACTAGTATCAGTCACTTCTGTCTGAAATACAATCTATTTACTGTAGAAACTCCTTTGCTAAATACTCACTTAAACTGATTTTTTTCTGATCTTATTTTTTGTTAAAAGAAAGTTCACTATGCTTCTGCAAGCTTAGTTAATTTTAGAACTGCTCTATAATAGCAATATACTTTCCAAATTAAATATTTCAAACACAATAGATACATTGATCCTTGGTAAGACAGTACTTCTTATTTGGTTCTCAATCTAAACATTTTACGTTTCTTCATAAACCTCGGCCTGTCTCAGCCTGCAGGAAATCCTGCATTGCCAACCTGCTGGAGGTGAATGCTGGTGCTGGTAAGTACACAGATAACACAGAACCAGCATAGCATTTGAAATGCTCTTGCATCAAAATTAGTTCCTTCACAGACAAGTGACAGGTTTTCAGGTGGACTAAAAACTTGTTGAAGAGTAGGAACTAACAGTCCCATTCCAAACGGATAATAATTAGTAGTGGGATTCTCCCAGGAACTCTACCCTTGGAAAAGAATAAGAAACTCAGTAAAAGAACTTCTCTTTCCTCTCAAAAGGTTTCCAGAAAAAAAATGCTGATTAATTTTGTGATGAGTTAAGGAGAAAAGTTGCTTTTGCAGGTAGGTTATATGTAGGCAACAGAAGCAAACAATCTCAGCTCATAAGGTATGATCTGTACATTGGCCAAAGATACCTTTGCAAGGCATTTTTAGACATTCGTAAGTCCCGATGCTACCAAATGATAATACCAACATCATATATTAGGAGGTAGTTATAGTTACAATATGCGGTTTTTTAAGTTAACAAAGTTAATTTGTGTGGGTTAATGGGTTATTTTGTTGCAATACAGCACATTTCTTATTCGACAGGAAGGCTCATGTTTGCAGTTGACAGAACTATTGATCCAAAGGTGGCTTTGTTACTAACATGAATATCTATGCTCTCTTTTAATTAGATTGCTCATGTGCTTAAGGTTAAAGACATACTTGAGTGATTTACTTGATCAGGCCCTTAATTACCATATTTTTTGCCTGCTGCACTTTACAGTGTAGATCTAATCAAGTGTCAAACCTTTTGAGGCCTTTCATTGTTTAGCTGTCAGTAAAGAACAGTTATTATAGAAACTAAAATCCTCCTCTTTCTGCAGTACTGTAATTGAAAAATATTCTCTGAATTTGTAACAAGAAATAGCTCCCTAACCAAAAAGCTTCATAAAGCATACTTTAAAAAGAGATGATTAACAGTTTCAAAAGATACTAGCCACAGTAGCATAGGCCCATTAGAGACCTTTAGATTTATTTAACACATCCATTCCTGTCTTTTAAGATCTTATGTGCTACAGCTTGTTCTCCCAGAACAAGATCTATTTATATATGAAGGAACAGAAATGGTAAAGTTCAAGGATAGGTGAACAGAGAATATGAAATAAGTTTCAGAGTATTTATTAAAAGCTACATGGTTCTAAAAGAACCTTTCACTGTCCCCAAATTTTTTGTTGTTGTTAAGAAGCTGATTGTTACAGAGTACTGACTTACTTATAATTCATTTTTAAGCACAAAAAAGGTTGTACATTAGCTGACATTTATGTATTTCATATAATAAAGGAACAGAATTCTAGAAAAAGGCCAAGGGAGAGGTTGATTCCTATGTACTAGAAACTTTTTAATTAGCTGGTTTCCCTTTATATTTACATATCCAAATCATCTATTATTCATCTGAATGCAGTGGCAGAAGTTTTTATTGTGTTCTTAGATTAGACTGTCACTAGAATTTGGGCAACTTCTAAAGCATCTACTCTATTCCTGGCTTTGCTATTCCTTTAGAGGGGCTGTGGAACTGTTACATATTGTCCACACCACCTATCGCAGTAGCGACTTACTGGACAGGAATATTAAGTATTGTAAATAAATTATCATGCAATGCAACAAATCTGCTGAAAATCAGCAGTGGAGTCAAACAATGTTAAAACCATTTGTGACTAATCTTTAATTGAATGAAGGAAGGACAAAAAGCTAAATGAAAGCATGTTGAGATTCTTATGGACAAAGACTCTGCTGTTGGTGGGACTAAGAAACCTGTTGCACATGCAAAAAAGACAAGGCATGTTACACCTTTAAAAAGGGCCCTCGCCCAGGAAGGTTTCCTCTATTCAGACACAGCTTTTAAATTATGGTATTCTGAAACATAGCCCCTACATCATATCAACATGTTGATTACATACCTGACATTATGCAAATACACAAGAAGCAAATACAAGAAGGTTAGTTAGATCAGTTAAAAAAGGTATCTATCATGCTAATTTTTTTTTTGCAATATCATCCTACTTAGAAATACATGACATGCTTTAGAAGAAAAAAGATGATTTTGAAGAGCTATCTTCAGTTAGAAATCAAATCACATTAGTTTGCATCAACAGTTCTAAGAGAAAACAAGAAACAAGGAAGCTGGCTTATATGGGTATTTTATTATCAATTAGCTGTATATGTATATATATCTACATTTCAAACTTTATCAATATTTTATTAAGGAAAACTATTTATAACAAAGTACATGAGAAAATTCTTTATAAGAGGTAGAATTACCTTACCATTATTCTATAATTCATATACAGTATATTTTATATATATATGCACACACATATGCTACTTCGTGTGTGTATATGTTACATATACACAGTTGCAAAAAAAGTACAGTAAATTTTATTCAATGATTTTTTTAGCTGCTCTCAGCTTTGCTTATTAACACTTCCAGTACAACTTGCTATAGCAATTTATGATCTGATCTTTTTAAAAAATGTTGTAGCACATTGTCTTTACTTCAGTTGTAAAGCAAATGCAGGGCATTCACAGGTCTTCAGGAAAAAAACCTGATAATTCAACCAGGTTTTACTTTTTTTTTTTTCCAAGTTTCTGTAGATACTGGGAAAACTAATAGGTAACAAATCTGTTTTGATTTTGTCTTACAGATTAGTGGCAAATCGAATCATCTCATTACTTTCCTTACTATGCCCTTGTGGAGTTCTGAAAATTTTACACCTGGTCTCTAGGACCTCACTGTAACACCATTTAATTCTAAGTCTCATTGGTAGTAACATCTGATTTAACTATATGTTACAGAGCATCTTTATTACTGGCAAAAATATTCCATGATACAGGAGGTTACCTAAACTATATATTTAACAAAAAAACTAAAGGTGTATGAAGCATCCAACTGAGAAATGAAAATTTAATATACTTCCAACATTTAGTGTGTGTTGCTAAGGAAATTGTACACATACTGCCAAATGTAGGTTCAAAACATGCAAGTATGCAGTGCTGCTGAATTCACGGTATATGTACATTCTTACCAACTTCAGTTTGGTCTGCCTTCATTTTTGCAGTATATATTGCATAGCAAAATGTAACATTCTACATCAAAACCAAAACATTCCTTTAAGACAAATTGAAAGTCTTAGTTGTACAACTGAATCATTAAATAAATTACTTTCTCTTTGCAGTGAAAGATGTAACTACATCATATCTCAACAAATATTTTCCCTTTAGTTTTCTTTCATGGTGTTTCCTTAAGAAACATTAGGAGCTGAAAGTGGAGAGCAGACTATTTATCAAGTGCTTTTAGTTGATATTGTAACAACTAGTCTCTCATTAGTTAGGACTTCCATCAAGTTACCAGAAGACCAATTAGTAAAAGAGTAATTACATGAGGCTTCAAGCAATAATGGACCCATTAAACAAGAAAAACATCTTGTTCATAAAAAATTTTTATATCTTTGATAAACATGTACAAATTCTTTAAAATACACATTTTTGTAGCAAAGTAGACACTAAATTAAAATATATTCTAATTTTTACATAATTTTTATAGTTTACCAAAATATTCTCTTAATAGATATTTTAACACTGTACACAAGTTAATAAATGTCTTAATGAAACTCATTAGAAATATATTCAAGCTGTCTCAACATAAAAAATTTAAATGTGTATATAACATGGGGTAGTAATTTCCATAAATTCAACATCAATGCATCTGCAGTAGTCATTAACAAGAAATTTCTCCTGCTAAGAGGTCTTCTCTTGGTGTTAAGCTTGTATTGAAGATTCCTCTTAATGAGCAGCTTTTTTTCAGTTCTTCTCCTTCATAAAGAACATCAATTTGAAGAGCTCAGCAGGTTTCACCAAAGCAGCAAGGCTTTAGTACTGAACATACTCAGACTGAAGGGACTGTGCAGAGAAGAAAAACTGATTAAAACTCACTGAAGAGGTTGTATTTGGATATAATATGTATCTTTCACTTAAAGATAAGGAGTAGAGGAAGGACAGGAAGGAGAAAAATAAACAGAATTGGAGGGGGATCTGAATCTCTGCACAGGTACAGATGAATAAACCAGAAGAAACTAAAGTCTGAATCCATCAACTTTCCTGTATCTACACTTTTCCAAACAAATTCTTGAGATTCTTAAAGAAAGTATAAAAAGTCCTCTAAAATACCACATTAAAACAATACCTTAAAATGGGTTGAGGACATATATGATAGCTGTTAGTATAATTGAATTGTTTCCCCTTATCCTGAATGAGAGTCCAAGTGCTACTGTAAAAAATTAGTCATACCTTAGATGTTGATTGAGATAATGATACAGGAAACATATGGTGTAGCTAATTATTGAGGGGAAAAAAAAGCTACAACAGCACAATTATGCATATGCATAAATTTATCCATGATTACTAAAAACAGATGAAAATGAAGCACTGCAAATGTTTCATCTGGATTAGTAAGAAGTCAGTATAATTAAGAGGAAAGTACAACCCGGTCTACTGTATTTATTCTGTATTTATTGACATTTCTGTTTTTACTGAAATCTAAGGTTTTATTAAAAACTTATTAATCACTTTAGACACTATCCAAACATTCTATTAGCTCATACACAGATGTGTTTAAGAAGTCATTCTGATGAATAATAAGTCTTATATGAGAGAGCTCATCACTGTATTAGTATGGTTATAAACAAATAGCAAATAAAAACGCCAAGCATATTTAAGAACTGCAGCAGAATTAGGGAGAACTACTGGAGACCAACATGAGTCCTAACACAGATCAGAACCTCAGAGTCTTGCCTTCCATTTTCCTACTATTCATAACCAGTCACTACAGAAATGCTCTTTGGCACCCANGATATATAAACTTCTAGAGTTCTAACTAATATCACAAAAACACTTTTCCCCCTATATCATAAATCTTAGTGTATATTTCCAAAGTTGTCTTTTAAATGTATTTTCACATCTTGAAAATCTGAGACCATCTGGATATTCTTTCCTAGGTTAAAGAAGAAGTGCTGTCACAGCATATAGATTTGAATACCACTGACTAAAAAGGGTCTGGTTTTAGTAAAGGCAAGGCAAAAGGAATAGGTCTTCATTAATGAGCACTTGAAACTTCTGCCCTCTTTCTTAATGATCCTCTAAGGTGTCTATTTTTCAGATGTGTATTTTAATAATAGATAGTTACACTCAATTAGAGCAGTATTTGAAACAGATTCATGAAAACTGAATTCCAAGTAAAGCTGATTAACAAACATTAAAAAAAAGGCATGAAATTTAATTATATACTCTCATATGTTGTACAGTAATAGATTACTTATAGCTAGGACAGATGAAAGATGACCAGAAAGCACTGTACACTTTTGGTGATCTTAAAAGCAGTCAGTGTTCACTGACAAAGAACTGTGAACACCAGTCCTTTATTTTTTTATTTTCTGAATATACAGAAATAATTAAATCTAAACAGGATTATTTTCCAGATTAAGATCCATTTATGTGACTTCACATAAAGTTCTATTACTAAAAACATGGTGATAGCCCTAACAACTGAGCTATTGTAAAGTACAGATACTCATTTTTGAGTTTGGAAAATTAAAATATAGCAGGGAAGGTTTGTTGTTCTAGTGGGTTTTTTTGCTTCTGAGGAAAAGTAATTTGTGCTCTTAAATCTCTTCACATGTCTGAAGAGATTGACTGTAACGTTTCAAAGCCTGTAATTGAGATTTTTTTCTTTTTTTTAATCTTTTGAGGAGTTTTCTATTTTAAAATTTACATTTGCTGTGACTCAAAGTATGGCCTATGATTCTGAAAGCATTATTAAAAACAAAAAGCCACAATCCACTTTTACAAGTAATATCTGGATTTAACAAAATCGTATTTAAAATCTTATTGAAATAGAGGTAAAAATAGATGGAAAAAACCAAAGAAAACTGACTGCTGAATTGCAATGATGAGTATAAAATCAGTTAATGGAGTCAAAGTCTCAATGTGTTCTACAGTGGTCCCATGCTGTGTCATGTTTGGCATTTTATACCCAAGTACCAGACATTTAACCAAAGAACTAAGAATTAAGACACAAGGATATCTAATGAAGTTCATGTTAAAGCAGCTACTTAGATCACTAGGCACAGAAAGCCTCCTGGAAGAGAAAATAAGATCCACCCAGGCACTAGAACTGTATTTGCACACATTCAACTTAAGGATCAAGTCAGCTGTGAGTTACCTTTAATAGGGAACAACCCTGTAGGATATAGGGCTATTTGTTAAGATTTGAACATGTACTTTTCCCAGATAATTGCACAAATGTAATTTAAGTTTTTTGCATTGTGCATCAACTCTCCCAAAACACCGTTGCAATTAGGAGTGTTGCAGTAGGCAAGAATTACTGTGAATACACAAGACCCAATAAACTAATTCAGGATATATTGCAGAAAATACAGACACACTTGAAGTGATCCTTTGCATCTGCTAAATTTACAGATCAGTGAGATGCATTAGCATTTGTCCATGTTTTTGCAAACGCTGTCCTGAATTAATAGTAAGTTCTTATTAAGAGAAACTATTCTACAGGTATAATGATGTATATGCATTTTAAAGTACTGCTACCTTCCCTTTTTTTTTTTAAATGTTTCAATCGCACCAGTTTCCATGACAGCTATAGAAGCAAAAGGTGACTCATCTTAAGACTACCCAGTTACATATTCTCCAATGAAAATACATTTTTAAGAGTGATATTTGAATTTAGAGATATTTTTTTTAAAAAGTAAAAATCTTATTACTGTACCTTAAATGTGATTCTACCTGAAAAGAATAATTCTGCAAATTATAATTGTGAGACATTCTGTTTAATCAAAACATGCAATTTGTAAAATTTGCAAATAAAATATTTATTCTATTTGGCTAGAATGGCAAGTTTTCCATTCTTTGAAAATCAAGATTTTCTTTTAGTTCATCAGCATAAATATGATAAAAAGAAGTGGATTTTAAGCTTGCACTGATGAAGGACAAAAACCATTAAGGAAAAATATATGGCTGACAACAACAGGAAGTCATAGTCATGGTTATTTCTTATTGTTCTTTTTTGTTAAATAGAACGTGGAACAGCAGTATTAATGTTGCTTCATTACAAAACAGAAAAAAAAAAGAGTAGTGAATAACTCTCTTCCATACTGGGGGAAAAAAAAGTACTTGCATAAAAATAGAATTCAAAATTTTCTCACTAATGAGTTTGAAGAACATAAATGAGAACTGAAAAAGTACTGTCCTAACCATCTTAAAATGCTCCTGCACCACTGATGTTGATAGTTAACAAAGAGGGACAAATAAGAGTGATAAGGTGATTTTTCTAAAATAGAGTATGTGATTACAGCTGGTTAGCTTGATATCTAACTCAGGTAAGGGAGATTTTGCCAATAAGAGAGAGAGGTAATTAATCAGTATCATTCAAGACTCCTCTGATGAGCTAAGCTAAGTGAATAAGCATAAAGCACCAGTATATGTAATAGACTTCTGTCAGGTACCTTATCTGATGTGCTCCAATTAGAATTCTGTTTAATGATTTCCACTTCTCTGCTTTCAGTGGTGAAATTGCTTGGTAGCCTTGACAGCCAAACCTTAGTCTTGCTGCAGAAAGGGTTTGTGTTACATTGCAGTTCTTTCTGTTTTTAACAGAATTCTGCCAGAAGTGGTATTAAGGCTTGATGCTACTCCATATTTTGCTCATGAGCTTCAGCCCACTGATGCATATCACCAAAAGCAAAATAGCTGGATGTCAGTGGTTGAAGTGGTAAGAAAAAACAAATCTTCTTTGGTTGGCTAATTGGTTCCATTAAGAAGAGCGGATGGCGAAAAAAATTATGCTTTTCCACAAAATTCCACATTAAAAACCCCAAGAAAACCCATGGGGAATGCAGGACATGGGACTAAAATACAAGTCAGTATTTTCGATGGCAAGACCTCTTTTTTTTTCCCTCCTCCTAAACTTCCAACGTATTACAGTTAAGAAGATAAAACAAGCTATGGACTAACGAGCAGGACAGCACTGAGTAGCAGCTTTCTGGGCCAGAAAGATTTTCAAAAACTAAAGAATTTGAACATTTTCCAAAAGGATATTTGAGCCAACTTAGCTTATCAAAAGAAAATCAAGTTGAGATGACTAGCACGAGATGTCTTCATGACAAGAAAATAAGATAATAAAGGACTATAACAGTGACATAATAAAGGCAAACAGAAAGTTTCAGGTTAAAAGTGAAATAGTTTTAAGCATGACTGTGTTCAATCAGTGGGACTAATCATTCAGAAAAAATTATATTGCCCTCAAAATAAGCCATCTGTATAAGCCAGTGAGACACTCACTACCAGGCACAAAGCATTCAGAGACTAAATGATCAAATAATCTACTCTTGTCTTACACATCGTGACATCACAGTAACTACACTGAACTCAGTCAGTTGTGCATAAAATGGGTAACAATTTAGTGTATTCCACTGTGACTGTGAGAGATGCACAGGGCCATATGGTATATTTAGAAGCAAATGCATTAATCAGAACATATTTGAAAAACATATTTCAAACAGAAAAACTTTTTAACCATTATATTGAAAGAATATTACTTTACAGTAAATCAGAAACTTGTACTTTGCTACACAGACTTTGCATGGCATGATTCTTCCTAAGAAATGCTGCTTTTCATATCGCAGTATATGTTATATAAAATATAGTATTTTTATCTCACCTATATATATAGTATATATATATATATACTATAAAAATATAGTATTTTTATCTTCAAAGAGGACTGGATATAGAATCTCATATAAAGATCTTGCTGTATTCAACTGGGTATAACCTCTACTCCTCAACAGCAAATGATATCAAGCCAAGAATTATTCAAAGATTACACCCTTATATCCTTCCATGTATTACTAAGTCATTAAGATAGGGAGGAAGAAAACTAAATATGTTCTTAAACAGGAGAAATGTGCATTTTAGAAAGCACTTTTTTCTTCACCGTTTCCCAGTCAACCTGAAACTTTATACTATGCTTAACATATTTCATTTAAATCGGTTTTAAATCACTTCACAGTTCTATTGCAAGGAGACAACAATTAATTTCCTTCTTCACCACAACACACACAGCACGAAGTCCCTCTCTGCTGTCAAGATGGCTATTTCACCTCTTCACCCGCTCCTTTTCTCTTCCCTAAGTTAAGCAGTAATTAACATTCCTTGTTTTTCTCCCTCTTGCTAAGTCACCTTTATCTAAGAAGGAAAGGCATGCTACAACAGTGGAAGAGTCAGTTACACCGTAAGCCCAGCCCTCTCCCCACATATATTTGGGAAATTTTTCTGTCGCTGCCATTATGTTGAACCTCAAGGGTTTATAAGATTAAAGAGAGACCTAGTGCTAACCTAGAATTTTGTAAATATCTAGATATAAAAAAGAAACAAAGTGGCACCAGTAATTAACTTCTTATCCTATGCTTAAGGAACAAGCCACTAACTTTGCTCTCATTGTTAAGAATTATTTGTAGCATTAAGGTATGGCAACTACCTTTCCAAAGGAGACGACGGTTTTTATTTTCAAAATGTTATATTTTCATTGAACCTTTGAAGCTGTTTGAGAAAACATGCTTATTGTTCCTGTAATTGTTTATATTACCATTTAATACTCTTGTAAATTTTGGCCAAATGTGAAAGATGTCAGCTTATTTTCATAACTAAGTCACATTACAGTTACAAGGTGTTTTCTTCCCCTTAGGGCTCTGCATGTAGGCTTACATGCATATATTTAATGCATAATAGGCAGCTGTAAGTAGAATATGGAAAAAACCTCAAAGAAATGCTGCTGGCAGCATATAATTTACAAAAGATAGAACTGAAAAGAACAAGAATGGACTGACTCTCCAAAGAATTATTGTTCATTACATTCAATATGAGACAATATTGAAAATGAGAAATTAAAAAAAAAAATCAAATCAGTCACTTTACCACTTAGTTATTCAGATGACTGATTGCTCTCAACCACTGTTGGTGTACTACCCCCAACTGGGGCTCTGTCAGTCCTGAGGACTGAATTTCTGTAAGCATGCTGGATTAAAGAGTGGGAACACCTAAAAAGGATGACTCTTCAAAGCAATCAGAATTCATGAACAAATAAATGTGCCTCATTGATGTGCCTCAAAACAAACATTCCCTGCTTGCTGTGCAGCTTTTCATCCCTCTCCTTATCTCTGTGCCTGAAGTAATTAAATTAATTAGTTAAACTAAAGCAGTTTTCTTGTTCTAGAATTTGTTTCCTCATAGAAAAACTGATATGGTTTTTGTATCCATTTGAAGCCTCAATTATACACAGTTTACCTCAATCCCATGCAGTAGGGAAAAACAGTCACGTTAGATGTGAAACAACTTCAAAAAACTGAAAGGATGTGGCAATATTCAAGAACTCCCTTGCAAATAAGTTACTGCTGCTGTTTAAAGTAAAGTTTAAACTCAATGCAGATGACTTGGTGATCCTGAGATCATGGAATATTAGCATTTATTTCCAGATAAGCTATAGTGGATAAGAAGCTAAATGTACTTTTTAAACGAGGAGTCTGAAAGCATCAAGTATTTTAAAGAGCTGCTTTAGGTTAAGCACATCCTACCACAGTAGGAAGTAGCCACTGACTTAAAGAGAACACAGAATCAAGTTCCCCCAACTAACTCCATTTTCAATATACTTTGTATGTAGGTTAGGTTTCAGTCACATGCAATTTAATTCCACAACAGGACAATGAGAATTTATTTTCTACTGCCATCTATCCTCAGAAAGTGCAATTCATACCCCGAGCTATAAACATGCGGCTTCTGAATTGTAAGAGGTGCCACATCCTAGCTGTTAACATGGGGGTAGGTCCTCCACTTCTGCAGGAAAAAGAGAACACAACCCATGAATGATCTTTTCAGCTGACATCCTAGTTACATGCAATGTGTGTTATTAGCTGCTTTAAGACAGAGACTCACCACACTCAAAACCAGGAGCAGGTGTAACACTAAAATTTTCTTTATACTGAAATAGGAGAGAGAGGTGCAATATTCTGAAGTTAATTATACACAAAGCCAATATTATTTCCAGCAGGTAAAAAAAATAAAAATCTGAAGTGTCAGTACTAGTAAACAGAGGCTGACAGGTTCAATTAATTGTAGGCAAAATACTCTATTAAAAACACTGCACTAAGTTTTATAATTAGTAGGATATCAAATCTTTGAAAACTAAAAATTTTAAATTGGTTTTAGATTTTTAGTAGCAGATATATTTATTTTTTCCCTAGGTTAGATGAAGTTATTTCTGATTTCTTAATGGCAGTTTCTCTAGTCTCTCTTCTCTGCATTTTGTATAGAATCACTTTCAAATTGCATTAATTTATCTGTGCATCCTCTTTATACAGACTCTTTCACACAAAAAAACCCCCATAAAATAAGTCTAAGGCAGCAAAGTTGTTGAGGAATGAAAGCTGCAATGTGAAACCATCAGAAATATCTTGCTCTATAATACTTTTCACATTTGGTGTTGGAAAAGGACTAGGTTTCAAATCAGGAGGACTAATCTTTCAAATAAGCCCTATCTTTAGGGATGTTTACCTTTTATTTAGTATGATACATAGAAAACCTTCTTTAAATCTGTTACTGCATGAAGATAAAGATACATAATAAAGTTAAAAACTATGTTATGCATAATTTGAAATAAAAAAATCCAAAGGATAGGATGGTCCATTAAAAAAAAAAAAATCAGAAAAGGTGTGAAAGTTCAGGAGTCACTTATTTTAGTGAACCTTCCATGTACTAGATATTTAAAAGACATGGAAAAAAACCCCAGGTGAAATGATAATTACTTAAAAAGATAAGAGATAAAGGTGCTGTTCAGAAGTGTTAGAGGAAGTCAGAGAATTATGCTGAGTTAAGATGTTTTTTTTGCGACAGTTTTGCTCACAGAAGCAAGGCAGAAAAGCATCACTCAGCTGCCTGGAAGTGCTGTTGTGAGTATGAACTTACAGGAATTAATTGACTCTGGTATGGTGCTGGAGGAGCTGTAAGGCCCATAAAGGAAGGCTGGTGCGTACCCATCTGTCACGGCGCTGTGCAAACTGCTTTGGCTGCTCAGGTTGTTGCCACTACTGCTGCTTCTGTTGTACAAGTTGTTGTTCAGCTCACGGGTATTTCTGTGTGGCAGCTGCAAGCTGCCATTCAGGTGACTGGAGATATGGCTTACAGAAAAACCTGTCCTAGAGCACGATGATGTCATTTTGCTCCCATCATCTGAAGCAGCATACAGGTTCCCTAGAGAACTGGCTAGTCTGGAGTTTATGGAAACGCTGAATGGAAAACACATGCAGGGAAAAAAATATACACAAGGTATGTAGAGATATATACAAAAATGTAACAGACAATTCAGAAGGCATTAGGTGAATAACACAGACCGTTCTGAAATAATTTGTGTTCGCACACAGGTTCATCTTCTAGCTCCTAAGTAATGAAAAGCAGAATTCTTTGTCAGGAGTTCCCAAGTTTTGCTTATTCAGCACTACCATGGCCAGCTTTCAGCTCTGTCAAACCATATGCACATGCAGGAGATCGTGTTAAAAGGTTTAGGCAGTGTCTGATCTACGCTGAAGTACTTTTTGTACATGTGACAGTTTAGGAACTCCTCTTCTGCTGCTTGAAATCAGTAATGTGGTATAAGCCTTCAAGTAACCAAGAAGTAATATGATAAAATCTGAGAATAAAAATAGGGTGTCCTGAAATATCTCAAGTCAGTTACTCTCTTCAGGTAAATATTTGTGTCCAGAGTTATTAAAAATGCATTTATCATTCTAAATTTCGTTTAACATATATAATTACTTAGGACAACAGTAATAATGGAAATAAACAGCAATAAATCAAAGGTTCATAAAAGTCATATTGATTACCACTCAGTATTCTTCCGAGAGTAACAGTATATTCACTTGTGGGAATACCTGCAAAATGTCTACGAACTGACGTAAGTGAAAAAAACCCCCAAAACTTTAGCAATGTAATACTGTTTCTGACAACGCAATCCCAACAAAATGCTCAGACCAGGAGGACAGGTTTTAGCTTTTCTTTGTTTTTTAAATCTGCAGGCAACTAAAGCTTGGCTCGTGGAACAGCAAATGACTTTGTAAATAAATTTAAGCCTTCTTACACCCAAGAACAGCAAGCGCTTCACAGACTGCACGTGTGCTGACAACCAGTGGAGAATACAGTAAGTGCTTGAACCAAAATGAGAAGAAGAAAAAAACCTTTTGAGGTTAGATCCTGAGGATGTGGCAAGTCTGCTTATTCTTTCTGCAGATGGTGAGTTAACTGCCATCACTTTGGAGGCCTTCAGAGGAGACATGGATCCTTCTGTGCTACCTGAAGTATTCAGTCTAAAAGGAGTGCAGAGTTTTAGTGAGAAGTAAGATTTTATAATTAAAATATACATCTCAAACACATACAGTCTAGTCTTTCAATATATAGACTGGTATTTTAAAAAATGGGAATTCTCAAGTCTGAGAACACCAAAAATGCAACAATTTGGCTGTTTTCAAGTATCTTTTCAAAAAAACTTTCCAAATATTCCACTTCAAGAATTTCCCCTGCTGCACCTTATTATACAGTTACAGGCTACTTTTCACTTTGATATTTTACAAAGGCCAAGTGTCCATTTTTTATAGATTTATTGTAAATTTTATCATAGATTTTAAATGTGAATTTGAGAAATAATACTTTTTGTGCTTATAAATTGAGTATGAGTAGAAGAAAATGACACTGCAGCTTTCATGAGATCATCATCATTTCCAAATGACAGCATGAACATTTTCACAAAGTTGCACAGAACATACAGCTCCTTCTAGAGTGGGGGTCTTAATGATCAAATTCTTCTTGGTTTAAAACTGAGCTGTATATATGTTACACTGGACTACTCTATAATGTTTACCATTATGGCTGCCTACAATAGTTTATTAAAACAATAATTTTCTCCATACTTAGACCAGGGGATATTATCATGATCAGACCTTAACAGATCAAAGAACTTGGGTACAAATCTCCAAATACAAGCACAGAAGGAATGGTATTAAACAGAAGTAGCTTTAATTACCAAGAAAGGGTAAACCAGACATTTTCAATGTTAGCCATATGGAGTAATCCAACTCAAAAATCCAGGTCACAGAACTAAAAAAATTGTGCTCTTTTCAGTATTAATGCTTTCTAATGATAGAAATCTTGTCTTATATGTTGTATATTAGATGCAATGGGGTAAAGCATGCAATTTGCAGGTGTTTCAAAAACTTTGTTACCTGCCTATTCTTGTAAGCCAGAAATTGCTAATCAATTGATGTGATGACTATGACCCAAAATGCTGAAAATTAAGACCCAAGTCAAGTGGTACACATTTATAACTAGAACTTTAAAGTTAATACCTGAAGGGTTGTGATATTGACCTGGTGTGCAGTTTCATGTCTTGCAGCCTAAAGAAACAAAAGCAGCAGTTTTTATCCAAGGATAAAAAGCCTTTCCCCTCTGCCAAAGCATATTTTCATGTCTCAGGCTGGCTTAAAATACAAGACCAAGAGTTAAGAGTTATTGACAGTCGCTATCTTAATTTACAGGTAAACAGCAGACAGGTACTTCAGGTTTATTTTCACAGTTCATATTTTTACTGGTTCAGAAAAGTAATTATAGAAAGACAACTAAGTTCATTGAAGAATATTTTTGTTCAAGTCGTAAGTTTTAGAATGCTAGATAAATAGAAATGTGAAGGTTTTCAGATTTTTTTTTTACATTATCTTTTATGGCTACACAGTAAGAAGAGATCCTGAACAGAGAGACAGAAGGGGAAAAGAAGATAAAAGAAAAAATTAATAAACCAAATCTGCAACTAATAGATATATACCTAGAGAAATTTCCACCATAGACAGTGGTACAATTTACAGTTAGTACCACTGCCTTAAACAAGATCATGTACTTGCCACATAGATCTGATAGCATGGACAGAATCTAAAATTGCAAATTACCTCAGAATGACAATTACCTCAGAGCTCCAGTTGTAGCAGAACAAGGCCGTCTCCGACTTTTTAAGGCATTGAGTTTATCTCCCTGTGTCATGCCAGTCTGAGTTTCCACATCTGCTTTGTCTTCAAAATCATTCTGGGAAACATAAAAGGATGCAAGCAAGAGAATATATCAAATCCTTTGGAGCAGTGTAGTTTCAAAGAACTGAACATCTCCTTCATGAAGATTAAAATCTAAAAGACTAATCCACAGTCCTCTGCATACATCGGCACTACTCTTCGCATAGCTCCAGCAGATTAAATGTGTCACTGTACAAACACGCACGCACAGAGGATTTTTGCACAATCTGACCTCAAAGTCAGTTCAGGATGCTCAAGTCTAATGCCAGCATTTATTTACTTCAAAGAAGTCTGGTTTTGTAGAACATAAACCTCAACTACTTCGTCCATAAGTACTTTTAAAGTTATCATCAGCATGGAAGAAAAGTAGTAACACAAAATTTTATGTTATGCACAAATGAGGAAGAAATTTAGATAAAGCTGTATGTCCTGCAAGAGGCACTAAAAATCAACTTTTCTAAATTACTACATTTAAAAAATAAACAAGTAAAAGTTGTCATGATCTCTAGAAAAATAAGTTTTGAAAAAAATTTCCTATGTGAACTTAATAAGGAATATAGAATGAACAGATTTCAGAGTTTTATCCTATTTCTTCTAGCTTTAGAAAACACTAAACAGTCTAAGAAATAGAGTGTTTAAATGCCTATTTACAATTTCAGATTAATCTCAAAATACAATAATACCAATTGTACTTCATTTCACCCTAGATCAAGTATTTTTACCACAGTTCCTACTGTGCCTAAGGGAACTCAGTGCTTTGGATAAAACAGAACAATAGTTTATGCCATTAACCAACATAAAAGATTGACAGAAGTAGTAATATGATAGAAGCTGATAAAATGATGTGATGGTCTAACTGTTGCATTAATTATAGGAAAATACAAATATCTTAGCTAGATTTCATTGGAGATTATATGGTAGGCCATTGTTACCTATCATTCAGCCACATGCTGATAAATTTTGTTTCACAGTCTTTACCTGCCCTACAGTTACTGCCCCCTCTTCTGATTCTTTGACCTCATGCATTTTTGGGATTGGGAATATTACTTTGTTTTGAGCTTCCAGAGAGCCCTATTTTAATGAGGCCTTGAGATATAACCAAATATCCAAAGAGATAATGAGATAAGTCAAATGGTTTGAAAACCGAATGTTAAACAACTTTAATGTGACATCTGTAAAAAAGTGAAATACAGGGAAACAGTACCTGTACAGAAATCCATTCAAGATGCTCTTCCAGATTATGACAGATGATTATTTTAATTTATACTAATAATTATATGAAGAAGGTGCTCACTATATCCCTGGTCTTTCACTTCAAGCAAAGAGTTCCATCAGCAACCTAAAACCTCTTTAGTTATTACAGAGCTGAAAAGGGATTAATGAAATGCATTCGACACAATTAATCTAAACTGTTTCTTACAGATAGTGTAGGAAACTAAAGTTTAAGATTTTTACTATTCCAGAAACAAAAGTATTTTCACTTTAGTTAAGACTTCATGCCTGTGCTCCCAGAAAGTCGTCATAAGGTCCTTACCCTAAACGTGCACATCACCTCATCCATGCATAATACTGTGATAAAGGGATGGGTGTTTATACACTGATGCATTCTTAATTAGAAACTTGGAATAAGTTTTTAACTAATACAAACGAAAGCTGATTTTTTGTTTTCCTTCATTCTCAAAGAACTGAAATCCCTGAAAGAAATGGAATCCCTGGAAATAACGCAAACCTTTTCAGTTTGCAAAATTACCTATGACAGTTTTAAATATTACCTGATCTTTTTTCTAATTACGAACAAAAAAAAAATTATCTGAGAAAAAGCAATCTAATACTAATAAAAGCCTAAACCTCAAAAATCTAAAAGTTATCTACAGCTAGTTATTAAAAGCTCAGCTTCAGTCTGTTTGGAATTTTTCCTAAGAACACTTACCTCCCTGTATTGATCCAAGTCTTGTACTTTCTTTAGGCTGTCACTGATGGAAATGTCATTCAAGCCACAAAGGACTCTGTTAATGTTTTCATCAACTACTCGCTGTTTCTGCTTTGATCGGATGTGATCTCCCTCCAGCCATAACATTGCTTGCTTCCTTTAGGATACAAAACCAAATCCATTCATATCAACAAATTTTCATAAATATAAAAAAGCCAATATGAAAACATGCTACTCTTACAGATTGCAAACATTTGCATCTTCCATACATCTTCATCTGAAAAAGAATTTGAATGTCTATCACAAAAAAAATAAAAAAATCCAAACAAACAAAAAAACCCCAAAACTATAGTTAAAAATAATAACCAAGAACCCCCTGAATCACCAAACGAGTGTGTAGTCATCACAAAAATATTACAAGTACTAAAACTTCATTCCTAGGTGGAATAACTTCATTTTACAAAATCCTTCTGGGAAAAGAGATTAACTAAACAGGAATTTGCAATTACATTTTAAAGGTAGCCTAGAAAACATGCTTGAATTAAATACCTTTGAAATCTTTCAAGATTAATTGCATTCACAGTAACAAACTGATTTGATACATACTTGTGTGGAAGTGTTTCTACAGAAAAACCCCCTTTATTAAACCTCAAAGAACCTAAGAGATGAAGCTTTGACATCTATGAAGTTTGGGAGATCAAAGCTGAAAGGGTTTACCTTTTTGTCAGATGCAACTTTGCAGCCCTGAGGGCAAGATATTTTATATTAGAATGATGGAACTGATGTTTCTTCCCAATCCCGTTTTGACGTTACTGGTGACATTGCTTGAATTTTGTCTGATTGTTGAAACAGTTCTCTACTACCCTTAGGACATTAGAAAATTCTTACTGAACAGTGCTACAGCTCTTAGCTAGGAGTAATGTAAGTATAAGTGAAAAAAATCTGAAGTACCTTTGCCTATCTATAAAATCAAACCAAGTATTCAATCCATCAAAACAAGAAAAGACATGGGCCTTGTTTTTCTTATAAGTAAACAGCACTTACTAATCACATTATCTATTACCTTTCCTCATAATTTTGCTCTATTGTGCAAGGTATTTTTAAGAATGTACGATCATCCAAGCATCAGCACAGTGTGAAGACGACTATTCTGCCTCCAATGAACACTTGTATTATTCAGAATACTGATTCACAGTATTCTGAATAATAGCAAGCCACCTCTCAAATACAGGAGTGCCCATTAGTTGGATAATAAATGAAAGTCCCTATTCCTGCTCAATTTCTCTTATCCATTACAGTAATACTTCTTTCTCTGATATCCTATTGATTTTAAGATGCAAGGTTGGTGCATCTTTGACTGTATTCACACAGTGTCTGGAAGAGCTGTTGAATACTCTCTTTTCCAAAGAGACAAATTTGTAGTAGGTTTTCTTAAAATGTTTTCTCTCATAACAGGGAAAATGCCTCCAAGTAAATATTTTCAGGGTATCAGCTCAAAAATAGCAGCATAACCACTGTAATAGTAAATGCACAATGCAGAAACCACTATGGCATTAAACTTAATGTCTACATCATTGTTACTCACTGCCAGTCAAGATCAAATCTGAAGCTGTATTAAAACCATACATTTGTTTTGCTGACAACTATTAGATTCAAATCAGAAATGTCTCATACATTATGCTAAGGAATCTGTCAGAGATCATAAGCTCTCCATCGAGAACTTATTTAATCTTTAGTTACAAGAAAGAAAAAAACATATCAATGATACCATTTTAAGATTCATTTTAAGTCACAGACTACATATAAAGTCTATTCTTCCTTTGTTAATATTTTAATAAATCCTATTTGTTGACTTAATCTTTTGTCCACATCTGTCCACTTCCAACACACTTGTGTAACTCCTAAAGTCCTGAGAAACAAACATGCAGTCTTGAGATCATGTGGCCCTTAAGGGGACAAAGTGCACAGCGCTCCAGAGGAGCTGATGGCTTTTGAGTAAGTTAGATTTCAATCCCATATTTACTAACCTTAAATATATTGAACAGACAGTAATATGCAAATGTCAGTAGACGAAGCAGATCCTATAAATAATGCAAGATGGAAAAGAATGTAGAGAAGCAGCTGATTCTTATTAGCAAAGAAGGTGCATATATACGTACTCTTCCAGGAAGTGTTGCTGGGGTCCTATAATAGAGCCTGGTCGACATATTCTTATCCAAGCAATGGCTTCAGCATGTGTGAACTTGTAGTGTTTCATGATGTAACAGGCAATCAGCGTTCCTGTTCTCCCCAGGCCAGCTACAGAAACACAAGTATCAACAGTCAGTAGTGAGCATTTCATAATTATCAAATAAAAGTATGGGACGTAAGAAGACTTCTATGTGATGTTATTCACCATCTTAGTATTTGAAGAAAGAATTTGTGATTCAGTATCCCCTTTATCACATAATTGGATTGCAGTGCTGTAAATATAAGAACAACTATTTCATTCTTATAAAAAGGAAACAGTGCTTAGAAGAACGCATGCAATAGCAATCACTTGTGCCCCTCAATTCTACTTCATATTTTGTTTAAAAAAAGGCTGACATTCTTTAAAAAAAGCTGTGATCAAGCTGAATACTAACTTTATATTTATAAAACCAGTAAAAAACCACAATCAAAGTACCTTTGAGAGGACAGCACACATACTTAAAAATCATAGTATGGTGCAAATACACATGCACATCACAGAGAGCACGTGTCTTCTGAGCCAGTGGCTTTTTCTTTTTGAAAAAGTTTTGTTGTGAAACCAACAAAACTTATTCAAAAAACTATTCACCACTATCTATATAAAGAACAATGAATGTTGACCAGGACATAATATTAGATATCAATAGCTTAAAATAATTTAACCCACTGCCCCCCAAATCACAAAGTAATCCAGTTTTAAGGGGAGAACAGAGAGACAGAAAAACTAGCTTTACTACCAGCAAAATCTCTAACTATAGAGTGAGGATTAATCTCTTTCTAGCCCTGTGTCTTGTCGACTAGTAAAGCATCACCCCATTTAAACCTTATTTTCCCCCGAGTACAATATTGGCAATTTGCAGTCTCATGGTGGCTGACTGATGTTTATGCACCAACAACAATCCACATGGAAACTCCCTAAGCAGCTAGACATCTGCTGATAATTCCATACACAACTACGAGCTCCTTACATTTAACCAATAACTATATCCTGCCCTTTTTTGAAAGTGAAGATGACCAAGGTAAAAGGATGAGGGTAGAAGTTCACAAACTAAGGTTCTGTAACTGTACACTGGAAGACAAGATCTGAAGAATCAATTAAAAGGGGAAGTATCAATTTCAGTTCAGCTCTTTAACTTCCTGCTAATTTACAAACTTTCCATTATAGTCCTTTCCACTGAACTTTTCTATAACTTTTGGGACAACCAATTTCTAGTTGGAAAGCTGTATTTGGAATATCTCTGCAATATATTAAATCTGAGTTAGGTCTGACTTAGCTGTTGATTTAACTTTGTATAGGCTTATCTAGAAGGCTGTAAAAAACTAAAAAGAATAAGATTGTTAGTTTGCTTATTAAATGGTCAGACAAAAGACCAAAAATACTTCAGTTTAGAAAGCACATGTATATCTCAATAGAAATTATGTTATATTCCTTTAGCAACCAAACCTGGAGAATAACGTACTCCTGCTAATCAATAGTTTATACTCTCATTTAGCCAAATAGCAGATGTCCAGCTTATTAATGCCACAATTTCTGGTTTCTAGCAACCTTAACAACTTGTTAGCAAATAAAGCATTTATCTTTGATATGCATGTTTATTGTTCATAGGAAAATTATGAATAGCATCATTCTTGCTTCTGATTGGCAAGACATTCGTCTCCACAATGTCTTTACACAACACGAAACATAAATCAAGCTGAACCCTTCAAAGCCTTTGTTCTAAGCATATTTTGTGTATTTTTGGGCTGATTTGCTGAATTAGGCTGGTTTGAAATGCTAGCATCACAATAACTCATATTAAATTGAAATGTGGAATTCATACTCAACAGAAAAATGTAGAACAGTCCAAAAGCACAAAGAAAACCTTTTAGTCTTTTACATTTCCTAGCCAATTATCATAATGCTGTAAAAGCATAATGCAAAAGAGAAACCTGCATCAACTAAATCTCATGTTTTCAAGTTGATATTAAGAAAAAAACAGAACAATGAACAACAGATTGTCAGTTGCTGAAAGTAACAGTGTAGGATGAAAGAACTTAATATACACATGAAAATAACAAATATTTGGCATATATTTAGTCAAGTATCATAAAGCAATATTACTTTCACAACCAGAAAGTGTTATTTGTTAAATGCTTTATTTTTGGATAAACTCTATGGATTTATAGATATTTTGAACTTTGATCTGAGAAGTAAGTGCCCACACCTTTACAATGTACAGCAATGGCACCGTCAGCATTTTCACAGATGGTCAGGAACCTCTGAACTATACTGTCACTTGGTGTGCTTCCATCTATGAAGAACAGGTCATAATGCTCGAAACCAGCATCAGTAAAGCGTTTTGCCTCATAAATTTTTTTGTTTAGTCTTATGATTGATGTGACGTTATGTTTCTTGAAATAGGGAAAGTAGGCTTCAGGTGCATGAAGGGGATAACCTATAAAAAAAGAAAGCCACAATCACTGAACACCATAGATAAAGTTCAAAGCCCTACTAGTGAAAATTGCCCCCCAAACCTTCCTTGAATGATAAACATTAATATTAAAAATGCTTTAATATTTTATTCAAAATAAACATGTTAAATGATATAAAAAATTGTCAAAAAACACTCATGAAGACCACTATTATTAAAAAAGTATCAGGAGGAAGAATGTTAAAGCACAGTATGTGTGAAACACTGTGCTGTCTCCTGTTTAGCCCCCACTCCCCTCTGCAAGGAGGGTTCTATACATAAAGCTAGGCACATATATGAACTCAGCATTTCAGAACAGCTGTCTATATACAGACAGACAGTCAAGCTGCAGATGAAAATAAAAACATGCTTTAAGAGGAAACACTGTTTATGAGGAAAATAGAGTGCTGATCTATATTATGGATGAGAGGAAAGAGTTAAAGAACAAACGGGTCAAAGAATAAACTGCAGCACTAAAGACATTCTTGCCCTATGCTGCAGTAAAAAAGCTTTATTGCCTTGGTTCTCTGTTGAGGGACAAAAGGATCCTCTAGATGAAGATGGGGGCACAGGCAGGGAGGTCAAAAACCAACCACAACACAGCTGCTTAAGACAAGTCATATATGCATTAATAAATGCAATTAGAATCTCAACATAATGAGAAAAATGTAGGTTTGTGATATGCACTTACACTCGCCTGGGTGAGGCTTATTTAGTGTTTCACAACTGGATTTTAGTGTTAGTGCTAATTTAGCAATTTTCAGTTACACACATGTTGTAAATAGTTCTTCAGTAGTAAAGGCAAGCTTCTTTTTAAAGTCTTTCCTGGTTTTTGTTACAAACTTTTTAACAGTCTTCTGTGCTTTATGCAACTTGCCTTTAATTCTGCATATTTACTGTATCAATTTACTGTCTCCAGGTTCCAGGAGAAAATTAAGGGACCGAAGTTTCTCAGGCACTTTGATACAGAATGAAAGTCATTGACTGTTAGAAGAATTAAAACTCTTCTAGCAAAAATTCCAAAACCTTTTGAATTAAGTTCTAGGATCATATATAAAATGCTCACTGAATGATTATTTCTCAGGATTAAAACTGATCGATAAACCTCTTTATCTTCTTATTTGCTGTGACAATTTGACATGCTGGAAAAATAAGATCATAGAATATCATTAAAACATACACCATACCATTTTCAAGTTTGCTTTTTGGGTGTGGTCCACTAAAAGCCAAAAATTTTCCCGGAATAATCCAGTTGAAGTCACCATTTTCCACTCGCTACAAAAATTTCAGAAGAGAAAGAGGCAAGCATTTTAACACCTGATTATACAAGGTTAAAAAAATTACTCAATATTTTATTTTATTTTTTACTGTGTTCTTGCTGCATTAAAACAAAATGCTTCAAATGTAATTAGCTAGCTTATCTATATGGGACAAACTAACCATAAGCTGCTTCTCAGGAATCTCTTAATAAAATAAAATGGAAACAAAACTTGCTGAAGTTTTCCAATAAAAGTTGACATATCCTTTATCTAAGATTTCTCCTTTAGAGTGTTCAGTGTTTTAGGATACCTATTAATATTAACACTGACAAACCGACATTTTTCTATGTTTTAATCAAAGACTATAGAAAAATGCTTCTCTGTAAGGCACTGGCTAAAAAACCCAAATCACAGAAAACAAATAAAAAACCAATTAGCCTCCAAAAGAATTATCTTTTCCCTGTAGAAACTGAAATTTACATATTGGCATAAGCTCTGATGAGTCAGTAATCAAAGAAAAGTATAAATCAAATAAAAAGACTAAATTCTAAAAAACTTTCTAACTGACATTTTGCATTTCTTGCTCACATTTACATAAAAACTTTGAAAAGGTTCTTCAAATTCTGTCAGTGCTAAAAATGAAAGCTTCTTTGGAAATACGTAACATGAACTGTAGTTCAGAACTGCCTTCTTTTCTTTTTTTAATTGAAGACTGCTCATTCCTCATTTGGCAATGCAGTTATTCTCAGCGTGACTTTTAAGGACATGGCACTCAGTTCAACTGCATTATTAAGCTTGTGTTTTTAGCTCTCAGCTCATCAAAACATCCTAATGAGTGAAAGGTTCTGATAATGGACATCACTGTAATCAATTCACCAACTGTTGGCTTAGCTGAACGCATTAGGCTTGCTCCAAATGTCCTCACACAGGGGTTGCATAAGCACTAGTGAGCCAACCTCACTGCCAAGCCAGGACCCCGCGCTCGATTTGTGTCACAGACCACAAACTCAACACTGTAGCACCTTTACTCCCTTTAGGGAAGAAGTCCTGTTCAGTAAGTTAGAAGTATTTTTGTATTTGTATTACCAGTTTTATTTGTGAATTAAGTAGTTCTTTATAGTTACAGGGGTTATTGAGAATCACTTAGATATCTGCAGTTCATATTACTTAAAATTTATGTACATGCAAACAACATTATTACTCAAAAACTTAAGAACTTCAGTAATTTACATCTAGTCCAACAAAAGGGGAATTAGCTGCCTTTATAATATAGTACGATAAAAGAACTATAAACATGAAATAAAATTTCCTTTAGCCTGCTCCATTTAAGTCGTATGCAACTTTTCTCCACATAACCACACACTTGAAGACCTAACATAGCAAAAACCTGGAACAGTTAAAGTTTTTGAAATATAGCACAGGACATATCTACACATAAAGCTGACCATGATGTGTAAAAAAAGAGAAGACATACCAAAAAATGGACAAAAAACTAAAGATGATTCCAAGTTCTTGCTTCTTAAACTCAGTAAGCAGCATACTGTAAACATCATTCACACACATGTACTTTTCACAAACTAAAATGATGTTAAGCATTAAACAAGATAATGAAATACCTTTAGTCAATTATTATAATACTTTTTTTGAGGCCAACTAATGCCTACCTCATAGACAGAATTAGAATTCCTAATAATTCCCAAGTACCATTTATTTCTAGAACAGGCCTTTTCCTTTTGTACATAGATTAAGTAAAAAAAGCAGCAATACTTTAAATTTTTGTTCCTGTTCATTTAATTTTGGTAATTCAGCAAAAGCTATACCAATTTCTCAACATAATCATTATGAAACATTACAGGATAGAGAAATCCTACAAATGCTTTCTAGTATTGTGATTAGCTCTCTGTTACAGACTGCTGACTGGAAACAACAGATACTGTACAGATTTGTGCTATTAATTATGTTTTCCCACTGCTTATTCCTCTTCTGCCTTCACTGTCTTCAACATTCATGAGGTAATTCAGTATGTATCTGAAATACATACAGGAAATGCTCTTAAAATGGACGCTTTCAGACTGAGCAACTCTATTCCCAAGTTTTCTGAAAATTGCAATAGAGGGGAAGAATAGCAGAAGAATACTGGTTACAGTAAAGTAACACAAGTCTAAAAAAACAGAGAGTTTAATATATAGACTAGAGGTATACTAAATATTTGAATATATATCTTTCTGCTTAACCAATACAATTTCAGGAATTTAGGAGAGTTCCAAAGACGAGGTCCAATACAACTGTTCTGGACCATATGTACATACACCTTCTGTGCCTGAAATTTCCTCTGTACACAGCCCAATTCACAGGTACAGCATGGGCATATTTTAAAGCTTCTCTAAGGCAATGTAGCTTGAAATAACTTTCTTCTTCCAGCAGATAAAGGTGTGTATGTTACAAAGCCCTAGAAGCATCCAGAGACAACCAGAGTTTGTCTATACTTAAGTTGTAAAATGGTTGGTAAAACAACGAATGACATCTGTTAGCCTTCTGGGACTTCATCAGGAAATATTTTGTATGCATTTCCATTATTAGAATCTCCATATAATGCCTCCTTTACTAAAAAAAAAGTTCAAAATGTCCTTAATCTATGTGGGAATAAAAAAATTTGACATATATTTGGGACTATTAGGAACACAAGAAGCAGCTAACAATTGCTGCAAGAAAACACATATTCTGTGAGTCAGCTGAGAAACTTTGGATCGGATCCTGGGGAAAGGCTGGGAAAACATGAAAGACATCACAGAAGCCAGAAAGGCTGCAAGAAAAGGGTAGATTTATTATGTGATGCACTGAAATTGCAAGGATATTAATGCTGTGTGTTTTTCACACAGAGCATACATGTTTCAATGTCATCATCATCATCACATACCTTACATATGAACACTGGGTTTTACTTGAATTAAAATGTGTTTCCAGTACGTTTTAAGTTGTGGGATACTGTGTACTCTTATTTTAGGTAAACCAAACACATTCAACTCATTATTAAATGTACAAACCTCATAGTGTTCATATTCCTCCACATCAAATGTCTTAAAGTCAAAAAATCCATGCTGCAAAGCCTAAAAGGCAACAAGGTGTCAGTTTATACTGAAATAAGATATATAATTTCATTTTATAATACTACTTTGAGAATCAGAACTAAATCCCTAGATGTTTATGTTTATTGAAGCCTTTTTGTTAAGACAACATTACATTTTGCACAGATTAACAACACAGACAACAAAAACTACAACGTCACTGAAACATGCTAGATTCATTATTTCCCCTTCAAAGACAATATGATGGGACACAAAGTTGTTGCATATCACTTAAATTATAAAACTGATTCTCTCCACCCCACCATGTGTGATTTTCTTCTGTATTGCAGATAACAAGTAAAAAGCAATTCCCTTTTTGTCATACACTCATTCATTGATTTCTATGCTTGAATGTATTTTCATGCAGTTGGACATAAAACATTGAGAACATTGAGAGTTTATTCATTTTCCATACTTTATATGATACTCTGGTTTTATCACCATAATACCTAGGCAAAATGGCATGTACGGAATACAGTACCATGCATAACCTGCATTTTATTACTTCTTTTAATACACAGATAAAGTTCACTAGACTACATTAGACAGTGTCTATTACATGATTGAAAGAAGTTTTGTATTTGATTACTGTACTATTATTAAAGATGCCAATTTTGTACTGAAGTTTTGTGTATAATACCATATTGAAAACACTTCTATGAATACAGAATTCATAGCACAAATTTATTTCAAAGAATAGGCACAAGGCATTTCTTCAGCATGTATTTATACTGAATCTATTCCGTTCTGAGAAGTGTAGATATTACACAATATTCTGGGATTAAGGAGTGATAAAAAAATCACAGATTTATGATTTAAAAAAATAATCATCAGACTGCTATTATTTCCTACATATAGAGCACCTTTTTAGGACAAAACAAAAATCACAGCTAGCTTTATTACAGAAAACACAGGCTCAGTGACTGGACTGTCATGAAACTTAAGATACTGAGAGGTTTGTCTGAACAGCTCATTTTGAGACATGTATTTCATTTAAGCATGGCTGGCTGGCTGCACTCCAGAACTTGCAGGCCTCCTGAATTACATGTATATGATGTACATGCACAGGAACACCAAATTTATCCAGGTAAGACTACTTTAAATTAAGGCATAGGGTTTCTGCTTGAAGTATTTTTTCCTCTGTAAGTGAACTGGACAAAAATTCAGTAATAAATTTTATGAGAAGAAAGGAGGAAAACTGATTCTCACAGTCCTTTTGATGTATTTGTAGCAGATAAATTACAATGACTGCACTGACTACTTCAGAGCTTCAGGATCTGTAGAATGCCTCACAAATTACAGTCTTGCTGTTAACTGACAGCTCCTTTCCCACCCCCACAGAACTAAAAATATTAAGCTTGATCTTTTTTCAATTTTTAAAAACACTTGTTTTGCCATACTTTTAAGGATTACAAATGGTCTATAAAGTGTCTGTACAGAACTGCTCCTATAGCCGGCTCCCTTCATCAAGATCAATGGGAAATGATGAACAAAATTTAAAGGCTGACAAGTAAGATGTGAGGTAGCATTTTTTAAAAAAGCAATACTGGAGCTTAATATTGCCCAGGACTATTGAAAGTGAGACATCAAACCACCAATAAGATACCTTAGCTTCAATTGTTTTTAAACAATTCTGAAAAGATTAGCGTCAAACACTGAACCAAGTGTTTTGGGGGAAAGTTTGGGCCAAGTACATGCAAAAACTGCTCAGATTAAGTCACAGTATACCTGTGTATTCTGTATCACTTGACTTTATCCACCTGTTAGTCCCTCTTCCCCATGGTTATAAATGATCTATTAGCAGATCTAGCACAGTGCCTTAGGTTGTTAAAAGCTGCCTCCAGCCAGGCCTGGTGGATTTGCATGTTCCAAGTCATGAGGTGAAGTTCAGAAAGGTGTCAAAGGCTAGGCCAGCCAGTAGAAGTGTAACCTTCCTCCGCTGGCACTACTCAAACACAGTCCTCAGTACCTCAGGCTTCATGAGAGCATACTACTCATTCACACACCCTTTAGGATCAGATTTTCTAAGCTATTTTAACAGTATTTTCCCTCATGATTTAAAAATCAATTTAAACCTGTTTTGCTAAGGAAAAATGTTATTACCTTATTTACTCCCTGTAAACAGTCCAAGATGGTAAGATTGTACGTGCAGTTTCCAAATGAAGCATCCCTATAGATTTAATACAAATGAATTTAATATACACAGAATTATTTTAGGAACTTGGGGAAAGGCAGCGCACAACAAAATACATTCCAGCTATTCAATTCCTTTTGAGAACTCTGAATTCCCGAAGAAGACATCTTTTTAGAAGCTTGTTCATGCTAAAGAACTCCCCTACCCAAGACGCAGCTCAGAGTAAGTGCAATTAGATCCTGCATGTAATTTTAAGTGCAAATTTTACATCAGCTAACTACATGCCCTTTTCCAAATCATTTATACTACATTGGAACAGGAAGCTTTGCATCCTCTCTCAACTGTATAATGACAGCAGTAAATAAAGCAAAGCTTGCTTTAACCATTATTCAAATCTTAATTGAGTTACACTGTCTAACAGGGACAAGCAAACAGACTACTAGTTTGGAATTAATTTATAGGTCTTCGTTTTGATGCCTGATTACACATGTGATTCAAAGTTATCCAGATATAATTAAATTTAAAATTACTTAACCTCAGTTCTACCACTACGAAAATTACAATTTGTCTTTAGAAGATGAAATGAGACTCCAAATCAAAACATATTCAAGTGGTAAGAGACACTAACATAAAAAAACCCCATACCAACCACCACCACCAAAAAAATGCATTGTGGAAAAATGAAAAAGTACTTTTTCAGACCAGTTCAATTTTAACAAATTCTTCCTGAGCAGACTATTTCCTTATCACTCATTAAAGAAGTCTTTTATAGCTTTGCTCTAAGCTATCTTAGAGAGAGTCCTAAGAACTGCAATTTATCAGAACTGCAAAATTTTACATTTCACCCAAACATATATTTAATCTATAATTGATTCAAAATTTCAAACTTTCATTGAAAACTTGCTATAAGCAGTATGAAGCTTGTTATACTGATATGCTCCTTCAATCTCAAGTACTTTAAGGGCAGAATATTCTCACCTATTCTTTAAGAATAGAATAAGTATAGCAGTCTTGAACAAGCAATGTTCATAGAAAATGTTTTTAAGAAAATCAAAAGCTGTATCTTTGGCGGTGTCATATTACAGGCAGGCTACTCTAGAAAAGCTTTTGAATAATTAGATTATTAAAGCGCAATCATAATGTTTTGGAAAGGGAACTTTTAAGTGTGTATAAACTTTCCATATCCAAATCCAACAGGGAACTTTTAAAAAATGAGAACCCAGTATTTTCATTACACTAGATAAAGCAGAACATATCAAAGCAGCAAAATATGAACTTTACAGACAATACATTTTTGACAAAGTAAAAGTGGATAACAGATCATTTTAGCACAAAAGCATTTTAGCACACAAAAAAGTCTTCTGAGCAAAAAAACTGAAGGACCCATTGGAAACACATACAGAGCAGAAAGTTTTTAAAAGCTGCACTGGTTTTCCGAAGAGGTCGACAAAAATAAAATCCAAACCCATTAAATATTTAGAGAACTATGAATGGAAGATATGATCATAGCAGATGTTCTATTTTACATGTTATTTTGCTAAAACAAAAGTATAAGTTGTATTTTATCTGTATATATATAACTACTTCTTTGACTGATAAGGCATCTGATAGTGCAGTACAGGAAAACAATATTGAGGGAAAAGGCCACATAATCTCTAATCCATTAATAAGAAATACTATGAGAGAGGGAGAGAAGACAATGAACTTGACCTAGATGTACAAGAAGCCTATCAGAATTCCAGGTGTACAGAACTCCTAGCTCCAGTTCCCACAGACAGCTATTACCAGTGACGTGCACAGGGATGGTGGCAGCTGACATGGATTGCCTCCACCATCCATGTCTCACACCTCTCATTTCTGCTGGTGTGCACCTAATCATTAAAGCAGGTGTGCTCCAACTGACACCTGCCATCCACACACAGTGAAACAGTAGGAAGACTGAAAGCTAGGAAAATTAAAAAGAGTCAAAGTTTTAGAATGGCCAAATAAAAAGTTGTTTAAACCTAATCCCAATTTTCCAGAAACTCAAAGAATAGCAGTATTCTAATGTTTTTTTAAAGAGCTGACATCTCAAAAACTCACACCCCCATCTATCCTTCATGGCAGAACGCAATAACGTAATGAAAACATAAGCAACAGGTATGAACAACAGTGCAATGTGGCAGTGAAACAACACCCAGAAGCAGTGGCTTATATTACCTAAGGCTTCAAGGGCATCATGGTGTTTGATGAACCAGGGCAAGTACTGAGCATATCATATTAGACCTTGCCATAATCTCTCTCTCCTGCTCTGTCCCTCAGCTATCTTCTGGTAAGAAAACACAAGCAAATCATAAAAATTCCTTGTATCCTAATTTGGAGAACAAGATAATGGAACAAAATCTATGCAACTTTTTTTCTTTAAAGCCACAGTCATTTTTATTTTAGCACTCCCAATCCTTTTTGGAGTAAACCCAGGAATACATATACATATATATTTTCTTCTCTAGTTTCCAAAAGTACAGTTGGCTGATTAGAATCAATTCCAGATGCAAAACTTTCTGAAACTTTACTGTTTTATGCTCCAGAATTTTAAACCAAACTATCTGCAGGTATTACATTTTAGGTCTAAGAACAAAGAAATTAATCTGGCAGAAGTTAATATAATCCATATAATATAATCCATGAGGATTATAATAATAATCCATGAGGACTCTGCATGCTGGATCTATTGACACAGTACAGCAATATCTGAAGTACAGGTAAGGCAAGTGCTTGTGGATTCAGTATTAGGAGATGAAACCCATTTTACAAGTTTCAGAACATACAGCAAGTCACAAAATACACTTTACAGAGTTGTTTTAAATATTAAAACAATGTTTTAAAAAAGTATTTATTTATGACAAAAAGTCACAGTATGCTTATGAAGTGACATCTTTTAATACTCAGTCTTCCTATCAAAAAGATGATTTCGCATTATTCCAGAGAAGCATCAGTATTTCTTTACAATTTAGTCAAAAAGTATTTTGCAGAAGTGTGAGAGAGGACAGATGCACGATGCCAATCTTACTGCTGACTACATGTTCAAGAAAGGCCATGAAATACTCAAAAGGCAAAGATTAAGAATTTTACCGTGACCTGAATTCCTGAATGTTTTAAATAAATTACTCCAGTGAAATATCTTTTTTGTTTAGAGGGAGTTGGCTAAGGTATTTTAAGTCACTAATTGTTTTGATACTTCATTTGTTACAAGGAAAATCAAAACAAATCTCCCCCCAGTTACCTAGGTGACTTCCTCCAGGCTGAGGCTGGGTTATCAAATTCTTTTTCTATCCCAGAGAAATCAGTCAGAAGTCATGTGAAATCATTAAGAAGCTTCATAAATAAAATCCCCAAATTTAAACTTGTTTTTTCAATCCTCCTGAATGAATCTATTTACTGAAGAAAACAAAATAATTAAAAGCTAATGCAGAGCAGCTAGTGCAATTTCACTATTCTTTGTGCCAACCTGCCTTCCTACTGATTTTGTACAAATTTCCAAACCATGTATAAAAACATTGGATACTGTCAGAAGTAGTACTAACCTTTACAAAATTCTGTTAGAAATACAGCTATTCTCATACCACTTTGGCTTGAGAAGTCAATTACATAGCGCTAGATCCATGAGCATGCATTTTCTTTCTAAGAATGATAGATACATCCCAAACGTTTTAGAGCAATACTTAATAATACTGATCTTAGCTTGCATAAAATGCAATAGGTTCTGAATGGGTCACACTTTGTTCCACAGTAAAACCAAATGCAAGGACTAATAGTCATGAGGAAGAGCACTGTAAAGAAAAAATACCTTTACTAATCTTAAAGAAACATATTCTAGATTAAATTAAAATTAGTTCCAGACATCCTTCCTATTTAAACTTTTTCTACTCCTTTGTCCACTGTACACACTCAGCATAGCATCTTACAGAAAACTAATGCATGTGCTTACATTTAAGATAATAGTAATTTCTAACTCACTGGGACTACATAGGCATGTACAAAAACATTTAAGTGAAACTTGCACTTCAAATCTTACACCTTTTTGTTCAACTCAGAAGTCTGTGTTTAAGAAAGCATAGAAGAAAAAGGAAAACCTCATTTCATATCAGAATAATGCAACAGAGCACAGACAGACATCTCCTGCTGCTTTGCAGCACTCTGATTTTTGTTGCTGATTACATGTTTTATTACAGTATTATTTCAGTCTTTTATGGCCAAATGTATAAGCACCTTGTTTTTCAAGTAGTGTTTTACCAGCTATTACCTGACAGTACTCTATCTGCTTTCAAAATGAAAAAAATGTGAATATTTCTAGGAAACACAGATTCAGTATGAATCTGAGCCGGCATTACAGAGTTGCATATCCCCCATCCCATTTCACAGTTGTTGCAGCTGACCTCAATACTGCATAATGCTTTCCCTTTCACCAAACCTCTAAGCGCTGTCAATAACAAAACAGTTTGTTTCCCAGCACTTGCCAATAAAGAAACAAACCCCAAAAACCACACACTAAAATCTAACTCTGAAATTCATGTCATTATTTAGAGACTGAACATAATAATATTAAAATATATTTGTTTTTTCTCTTGAACATAAAGTCAATACAGAGTACTTTGAGTTGAAAATTTGAAACTGTTTCACACTACATAACTGGTATTTATGACAATTTTAACTGGTGTTAGCACTGTTTTTTAAATGGAAGTGAGAAGATACGTGTAAGATCTTCAAGAGACTAGAGCGTCACCAAGTGACAGTGAATCAGCCAAAAATAAGATTAAAGTGTCTCAAGTACAGTGTGCCTTATCCTCTCAAGTTGCCTTTAGTTTTTCTACCATAAAAACAAAACAAAATTTCCATGTATCTTGTAAGAGGTGAATTCTGATTTCCTTCCACCTCTGAACTATATTTGCTGAAGCTGTCTTTAAATGAAATACCAGCTGAAGACCTAAGCCGATTAAGGCTTTTTGAGGTCACTGAGCTAGATGAAAGTAGATCAGTTTCCCAGTGATCACTTCATGTAAACTTACCTCAGTACTCCACAAAGAATCTGACAATCCTGCAGCTTCTACTTATTCAAAGTTGTCTATTTTTTTCAGAGGACACTTCAGATATCAAATTAACAAACTTGTTTAACAGTCCAATTGTAACACTTAACTGATCACTGCTCTCTGATAAAGTCTTCACTTGAACTACTCAAACAGAGTTGACCTATACTACAGAAATTATATATTATCTAAGTTCCAGGCTGCAAGACCAAACTCTGAATCACAGTGATTAACATCTCAAATTATTTCCTTCACAGACCAACTTGTTTCTTCACAGTACAGTCTGGTGTCAAGTAGATATACTACCTAAGGCAGAGCTACTGCTTCCAGTACGGGTTCAATTGCTTGAGCCTCTGCATTATGCTATATTTTGCAACAGAGATTCTCAAATGTCCTGAAATGGACACAAGGGGAAATATCTCAAAGGTCTTGGAAAAGCAAGGAAGGAGGATTAAATAATTTTTTCCCCATTCCCTCCTGATCTAGATTGCCCCACTGCACACCATCAGATCTACTTGTCCTTCTCTCAGCCTGAGTAATTCTTAAGCTCCTTATGCATCTATACCAAACTCTACCTATGAGTTCAAATATCCCAAATATCCCCTTCCCTATCAGATATCCCACTTCTTATCCAGCCTCCTATCTTGTCATAATCCTTCAGTTTATTTCCTCCCTCCTCTTTGTCTCACCTCTGGTACAGGTTGGTTACACACCCATCTTCCTCAGCAGGACAAACTACTCTGCAGGTAACAGAATCTACTTAGGCTCTAATCCAGTGCCAAGATCTGACGTACTCCAAAGCAGATCCAAAAGAAACTTAAGTGCTTTCCAGTCTCACACCATATAAGAGAGAATGCTCAAGAAATCAAAACATTTCATTCTTCTAGCAAAAGCTCATAATACTATATTCCTTCTAGAAACAGTCAGGCTTTGCTCAAGAAGATTGCTTTCCTCCCATCCTCTAAAATAGTCAAAACTTTGTGTTTAAAAAACCAAAGAAAACCCCAAACACCAAAACTCATCCACACCAGAAAAAACCCACCCCCACAACCTGTCAAAAGTGCTTTAGTTTTAGCCAACAAAACCTAGGGCTTGAAATACACAGACAAAGACTACAAAGGAATTCCATTCCAGAATACTTCTTACTCTCTAAATTTATTGCCCTCTTCTCCTAAAGCTGGCAAATGGAGTGAAACAATTATAATTTTGTAATTATTTTGCCAACCCAGACAGCAAAAACTGAGTAGTCCCTTTGCTGGACATTGTCTTCTCCAATGTTTTTGGTTAGTATGCTCTCCCTTAGAAAATACAAAATGCTCTGTGTATATAATAAAAAGTTATCTTCAAAAAATCTTTGCGTTTCTTCTATATTTTTGATGCCTTCTTTGCTGACCCTAGACTAGGTAACTATTCTATTTTGAAACAGAATTTCATGAATCCAAAGTCATGAGGATTTCCTTCGAATAATCATTTAAAAACACTTCAAAGGAAATTTTTTTTGTGCCATTAAATTTATTACTGTGGTTCCTATCAGCCTCACAAGAAATCACAGAGCCAATTACTTTCATTACTCCTTACCAGTCAAGCAGAAACAGTGACTTTATTATTACTACTACTATCAACATCATTATTATAAGGAATTAGTTGCAAGGCAAGGATCTGTAGCCTTTGGTTTGAGCAAATAGGGTCATATGAGACTGTCTGGCAAACACAGTATTCCTCTCAAGTTTTCTGTCTTACAATTTTGGGATCTGACAAATAAAGTTCTTCGCTTTGTCAGAACTTCTTTTTACACACCTTAACCTTTACTTTGGTAGGGGAGAGAAAAACCTAAAGACTATATTTACTGTAAATCCAAACAGTAGGATGTCTTTAATTGGTGAACAAGATGCAGCTATTCAGCCATGGGGCCTGATGAGATGTGTCCCAGGGTCCTAAGGGAACTGATGTTGTTGCCAAGCCACTCTCCATCCTATTTGAAAAGTCACGGTAGTGAGGCAGTGACTGGAAAAAGGGAAACATTGCTCCTGTTTTTGAAAAGAGTAGAAAGGAAGAGCCAGAGAACTACAGGCTGCTGAGCCTCATCTTTGTGCCTAGGAAGATTATAGAGCACACCTTCATGCAAGCAATACTAAGGCACATGCAAGACATTGTTCTTTGTCTAACGTAGATCACCCCCCCATGTTTTATACAGAATTTGGAGAAGTTAAAAAACACTGACATTTAAAATAACTGACTTTCTTATGCCTTGTACCAAGTATTTTTTATCATTCTCTGAAAAAATATGGATACCACTAGCTCGGTGAACTTCTTGGGCTTTGGAGAGCTATCAATGACCTGGTTAACGTATAAGCTCTTTGCCAATAAAAGCTATCACTGATTTAATACCTCCTTAAAACATGTGTTTAATGGTTTAAGATTTCATAGTCAAACTGGTCTTGACATAATATCTACCATCCCAACAGTTTACACTGCATCTGGCTCCTATACAAAGTATGAGAACAGCTAATCTGATCTTCCTTTGCTGAGTGGTTGAAGAATCAGATGAATTTGATACAGACAAGGTAGGCCTACATTTACAAATGCACTGGCTGACAGTGAACACTACTTGTAAAATGCTGACTCCCCTGAAAAGGAGGATATTGACCTTCTTGCAGTTGACTTTTATTGCCAGTGTTTGCATAGGAATACCATGAGGTATTCTCATTCATAAGGCACAAGGGCATAGTTCACACCATGAAAAAAATTTGGAAGTCTCTTTATTAGATAGGTGTGACAGCTAAAACTCCCTAGATTTGGGTCTCAATATGATCTTAGTACAGAGAATAAAGACAGATTGATGGAAATTATCTATGATTAATTGAAAACATTTAATAACTCGAATATCAGCGCCTGTTCTGTAAAAGAGAAAATATAACAGCATACAACTCCCTTTATTCCTCTAACTCTACCTACTTACAGATTTAAAATATTTGAATGAATTCCAAATAGTAAAACATGATACATGATGAAGAAAAGGTTTAATTGCTAAATTGCAAACATGCTGAGAACTATTTTAAAAAACTGACAGTTTGCAAGGAATCTTACTTGAAACTTGTATCAATCTAAATGATTTATTTTCACAATACAAAGCAAGTAATACCACCAGATGTAAAAATTATTTTTTCTGGACATCAGTCATTTTGATACAATGTCTGAATCAGAAACGAAACCCTTTTTTAGGAAGGCAATCTGAAAAAAATTTATTTAGCAAAATCCAAACCAGAAAAGCTAGGCTCATTTCTTGTGTTCACATACCTAAATGGAAGATATGGTGGATTAGATCCAGACAGAAGTGTCCTGTAAGCCTCTTCTGGTGTTTTCTTCAAGTATATTACCTAAAAGGGATGGGGGAAGAGGAAAAAAAAAAATCAGCCCTGAGCCTGAAAAGTCATGAACCAGATGTTAACTTCCCTCAGCCCACTAAACTCCTAAGAATACATACTGTACTCCCTCATGAGCTACTCCTATGGACATACACAGGTCAGAAAAGAGATACCTACACAAAGAAATTATTCAGAAATCAATAGAAGTCAACAGAAACTGGAATTTCTGGTTTGTGTCATTCCTCTACTTTAAAAAAAGAAAATGGAAAAAAAAAAAAATCACATATTGCTCAACTGAGAGAGTTTAGGACAGACTCGACATCATATTAAGATGAAAACCACGTATCTATACTGGGAGTTCTCTCTCTAAATGAGTCAAAATACCATTGTGGCAGCTGACTAAGGAAACATTTCTCCACCACATCTCAATGGAAGATTTTCCAACAAAAGTATTTTTTGATTCCTAATTGTCAATATCAAACTACTAATTAGCAAAAATATCCAATTCAACAAGCTGAACATGTTACTATGAGACCAACATACAGTTAATATAACACCCAAAGCCAAGGTTCATTCTTCTAATAGCTGCACTGGCTTAAGTAAGAAATACAAGTACATATTTTTGAATTTCAATTCCTATTTGTACAGTACACTTAGTCCTAAAATAAACCTAACTCAGAATACATATTAAGCAAGTACTTCATTTACAAAACATGAAATTCATTCAGTTTGGAGTGGCATATTTCACACATATAAACATTTATTACAAACCAAGCCACATGATTTTCCTAGCCATTTCCCTCCTGTTCACCTTACCACCAGCATCTACATGGCTACTTTACAGCTCTACACACATTTTACTGACTGTAAAGTACTCTAATAATTATTTTCTTAACCAGCACACAGGTGAGCTCCTGATCTAAAAGCTCTATTCAGCTTTTGACCTTGAGCACATTAGAACATAGGTAAGTGATGGTCACTCCCAGAATATCTGCAATTAGCTTTTTGTCCCAAGTTAATGGCATTCTTAGTACTCTGTAAGATGTTGTCACATTAGGTAGATTTTCTTCCATTTCTTCCTCAAGCATGGACAAATCAGACAGCAAAGACAAGATAAGGATTAAATAAAACACAAAAAATTGACTAAAATAAAACAGTTTGAAAAACTCTTTGCCACTATGCAGCAAATAGATGGTCCAGAATAATCTCTTTTTCAAATAAAACCTATTTGAGTGCTTTGAACAGCTAGTCCAATTTTGGACCAAAACCCTCTACACAAACTGATCTCCATTCAAAAGATCAATCCCCTAACTTGGAATTGTATTTTAGTCTCAGCCTCCAATGTTGCTGCTCCACTCACCATGGTCACACTGACAGCATGGATCAGTATTGAAATGGTTGAAAGATAAGCTTCCCACAATTGTGACACTATGCTGGCACGTGATGTGTAGCAATACAGGCCAGATATACCCACTGTCAAGAAAACTCATACCATATGTCCTAAAAAGCTTGCAGAACAAAAAGGGAATTAGTATTTTGCAAGCCCATCTTAACACTTATCCACAATATTTCAAATGCAGTTGGGATTCATCTTGTTCCCACCTGCATCTGCCATTTTAATATTAGAAGTATTTGGAACAGTTCCCCTTTAGAGCTGCTGCGTTACCACAAGAGTTCTGCGAAGAAACCTAAAGCAAGCTGCAGAAAGGTGTACAGAAGAGGCTGCACACGCTGCAGTGACTGAAAAGCCTTTGGACTTGCTGACCCTCCAAGGGAAGGATTACAGGCTTGAGCAGTAGTGTGACATGCTTAGACTACCAGCAAACAAACCTTTAAAGTTTCAAGTAGGGCTGAGATGTCCGATTTAAATTTTTACATTAGGAAAAAACTCCTGCAAGCAAATCACTGAACATGCCACAGTAGTTTGCTATTACCCAGTCATTTGCTGCAATAAAACTACAACCTTAAGAACTCAACAGCTTTTCTCCTTTCCCAGTATAACAGAAGTCTAATAAATGCTGGTACTACCAAAATATACAGTTAAAGTAATCATGAGAGTGAAATATGGCCAGCCCACCTGCTATCTACAAGGAAAAGGAAAAAAGGCTCACTCTTCCCAGGGTTTGCCACAGTGTAAAAGCATGTTCCATCGAGAGTGCTTAAAAGTCAGATTTTGGCCCACTAATCAAGTTTTAGTCTCTGAAGAATTGCAAGAGGTAACTACTGCTTGTTTCTTACAGGGTAGAATTAAAGCTCTAGATCTACCAGAAGCAGCAAAGTGTCATATATCCGTGTTCTCTCTTCCCTCTGCCCCATTTCTCTAGGAGTACAAGAGCAATCACTGATATAAACAGACCAGTATTCCTCCTGCTCTTCTCTCCCAAGGAATTCAATCCTTACTAGACAGAGTACACAACCAGGCAGGTGTTCCTCGGTTTCCAACCAGTAAAAAAACATACCCTAAGTATATGGAAAGAGAGACCCAGCTCACCATTCATATATGTGTTATCAGACAGGTGAAAATGCACTCTCCTTCAAGATTTCTCCAAGAATTAATTATTTGATAAAAAGTGGGGAGTTAAGCATAATTTAGTTAGACCTACCTACTTTCACTCATTGTCCCCCCAGAAACTAAGTACAAATTGAGTCAAACCAGGCTACTTTAGTTTTGGTATGCATGAAAGGACTTGTATTTCAAAACAATTTTTAAAGACTTCTTTTTTAAGAAACGATTAACTATTGTGGAAGGCTAGATTAAAAATCCTAACAACTAAAATCTCCAAAGAGATGAAAAGAAAAGCTGAACAACACTAGCTTCCATATAGTCTCTGTTGTGCCTGATAAGATTTTGCAAAACCTAGTAGCACCCTGTTTCTGACCTCACTGACCAGTTTGTGTTGTAGTCTTGGTCATTTATGAGGAACCTCTGCATGATCAGGGAAGTCTGCATGTTCTTCTGTTCTTGTAACACTTTAAATATTTTTTTCTTAATCTGAATTTGTGACAGAAGTGATTTTTGTGGAATTCTTAAGAACAAGGACAATATTTTAGCAACCGGGCATGCTTAAAAAAGAAGTACTGGAAGTCCACTGTAAAAACTGAAATTTATCAAATGCATCTTCCTGAGATGCATATTGCCAGTGAAGTTTTAAGATTTAACTTTCACTCACATCTCTTATTAAAATATTTAAATAGCTATAGGGTCTAAGTAGCTGTTTAATGGAACAATCTAAGTTGCATAATCACCACTGGAAACCCACTCCTAGAACCTGATCCACTGCTTTCCATGTTTCATTTTACACTTAATGTTTTAACACCAGGACAAATAAACCAAGCCTTCTCAATTAACTTTCACATACTGGTAGAGTTCACAGCTAAAAGATTTTCTAGGCTCAAAAAGCTTGTACAATCATAGAAAATAAACTGAGAAATCAATTCAATAATCACTATGCTTCTGGTCTAGTAACTTTAAGAAAGGCTTAGAGAAAAATATTTCTCCTTCCCAGTATGAATCCCGTTCCTGCCATGAGAAGCAATTAATCCTAAAACAGCCAAGTTTAAATGTAAGTTTGTGGTTTGAATTTTCGACATTCAAGAAAATGGTATCCTGTGGAAAATGTGCAAATGATCTGCCAAAGCCATTTCATGTCTAGTAAAATAAATGGAGTTAAGGGGCAAAGCCAGGGTTTCCCTAAAACTCATGCAGCAGAATTTCCAAAGACAGCTTAGAGAAGAATGAAATGACAATCTGCATCCATCCCTTGAGAAGCTGTTTTACACACAGCAGAAGTCTCTTAAGGAAGGTTAGGAGTATCCATGTGATCAATAATACTTACAGCATATGCACCTATTAAAAATGCTGCGTTTGCTCGTTTCCGCTGGTCAAAACTGGTGTAGTACACTATCTTCTTTCTTGATAGACTGAAATACTGTTTAAAGAAAGAAACAAACAAAATATCACAGTTACTAAGAAAAGAATGCACTTTAAGAACACTTCAAAAAAATCCCTTTTCCCAAACTGAAAAAAAAATACTAATAAAGGGATTCTTAAAATTAAAGGAGAAAAAATTACTGATACCCTGAACAATCTTCTTACATCACAGATAAGAGTACAGGGAAGCAGCCACTGTATCAGGGCAGATCTCTTTGTTAGCTGTAAAAAAAAATTCTATAAAATGCAGCTGAACTAAAATGTTCAGTATAAAAAACTGAATTTTTTTCCCCAAGTTTAAGTATTTGAAAGAACAGCTTATGAACACTGATTAAAGACATTAACATTTACAGACTAAAACTTCCTCCTATATGTTGAATCTCTTTGCATATAATTCTGTGGAGAAGACAAAAGAAAAATTGAAGCAATCAAGTTAAGTTAAAACACTCTTCCATATATACTACCTAAAAATGGGGTAATGGACATCTTCAGAAAACTTCAACAGCAAGAATTGATTCAAAATGGAAAAAAAAAGAAGAAAAAAAAAGAAAACATTGCCTGGAAAAAGGGCTAGGCAAAGACAAAACTAGTGATACTTGCAATTCTTCTTTCTTTAGGAAGAAAGGAAGCCTCTGTCAGAATCCTGTGGACAAAACTCCCATTGAAAACAAAACCAACATGCACCAGAACAGAACAATAATGACAAACTGCAGCAAAACTATTTAAAGCCAGAAAGAGACAAAACTGTCACTTAGAAGTGGCAAGTTGGACAATTTACTGCATTAATAATTTTTTGGCTTCATGAATTGCTACCACTGTGATGCATGTTTGTCCTGACAGATTTTTACAGTACAACTCCAGTTTTGAGGAAGTTATCAACAAATATTCTGGTTTCCGTTTCTAAATATTTGAAGCACGTTCTATTTTTAAAAGTTGCACATTCTATAAAATGCTCTAATACCAACGCTGCTGTTACCTGGCTTCACTGTTGACACTTGGGAGTGGAACATACAGTACCTGCTGCACAATAGTATTTTATTTGTTTAAGTAGTGCCAATTGTATCTCACTTCCAGAGATCTGTGTCTACTCTCACCTTAACTCTTGTTGCAGATTTTAGAATAACTTTAACCACAGAATCAAATTTTGCAAAAAATCAAATAGCTGATAAACTCAGGAGAAAACTGATATAGGTATCACAGCAAGCTTCTTACTCCCAACCCCCAGCAACAGCACCTTTTATAGCAGTTCTAACTGTACATTCCAGTCTGGTCTTATTAGCCACAACTTCCAGAGGTAGAAGGAGTGAGAGTTAATGCAACTCAGTGTGTCTAAATGGGATTGTAATTCCCAAAATAGCTGGTTGCTGTTGATTGGAAGAAGCTGTATCTAGAGACCAACAGCAACATCTCTCTCAGTGTATATGCAAACATACAAAGCACAAGTAGTTATTTAATTAGTGAAGTATTCAATTATTATTAAAACTTGACAAAATTAATCCCAGTATTTTAAGATTCCTCCCTTCTTCCCCCTCCTCAATTTTTTAATTTTAGTGTTCTCTAACTGCAATTCCACCCATGATGTGTAGGTGGGATAAGATTACAGTAGTTATGCAACAGTGACAGAACTTCAATTATAACTTATTGACTACTACTTATTTTAAAGCAAAGTTCTTTGCAGCAGTTTATAGTTCACCAAACCCACTATTTTAAACTGCAAAGCTAACTAGTCAGAAGTTCTATGTAATGAGACCATAGTTCTTGTTCTATTTTATGGAATGGATTCTTTTATGTTTTGGGTATATCAAGTCATTTCAGTTTTGAGACACTTCGTACCTGACGTAGTGAAAACCAGAAGTTTCCAGAACATTTTAATGAAAACAATGTATCAGTTTTATTGCATAATTTTCAAAATGTAAGGTTATATGATATTCAAAAAACATATCCTGACTAAAGCTTTAACACAAAATTGAACTTAACATTAATTGACATTAACAGCTTATAGCATAGTAGCCAGTGGAAAATGGCAGCATGATTTAACTTTTCCAAAGCCTATAAGACAAACCACTGTTTTTATTTGCCCACTAGTTACAGAAAATCAAGTTTTACAATAAGTGTTTCCTGAAGTGTCAATGCAATGCCTCTCTTAACGTTAACATGCAAATTGTTTACTCAGTACACTTTAAATATCAATACTAAGCTATATGATCTACTTACAAAAATACTGATTTTCTCACCATACTTAATAAGCTATGTGTCCTCCTTTGGATAGATTCAATGATAACAAGCTTTCAAGACAGTTCTGGAAGGTAACTCTTTTTACAGCTCCAGAGCTCCACCTGAATGGATTAAGGCTTTAGTTCCCTGAGACACTGCTCAACTCTGAAGAACCAGGACTGTTTCAACAAGAACTTTTGCAATACAGGTTATCCTACAGAATAGCCAGACCTTAGATAACATAGTTGTGAGTAATCTTCTTTCCTAAAACAAAGGCACGCATTATGAAGCATTAAGAGTATTCTTCTTTACCAGTAAGAAAATTTTAGCAGTTTCACACATCATTAAAAGACAAAATGTAACAACAGTATCTGTCAAGATATATCCCAAAGGAACATACTAAAAGACAGTCTTTTGAATTAAAAGCAGAAGTTCCACAGAAAGCATGGCAGGTTTTGGTTTAGGTGATAAAACTAATTTATAAGATTACGAGAGGGTTCCAGAACATGTTATTTTCATTATAAGATTACTTTTTTTTAAAAATAATAGATAAGTTCCTGTTTCTTGCAGGTCTCAAGAGAGATTTACTTGCAGAGAAACTGATGACAGGCTTAGAAAGTGCCATGGTAGACCGTTACTAGATTGTGAGCTGCGTAAAATCACCAGATTATTTGTCAGTATTTCATATAATGGATATGGTTAAACACAGTTGTACTGTTCAAGCAAGAAATTACTGCAGTATGTTTAATAAGCCTGGATCTATGCAAATTATATTTTTATACATAGAGAGATGTATATATATGTAATATGTACACGTAAATAGCAGTGAATACAAGGGTGGCAAATTGCATAGAAAATGGTTTATTAAAACGGGCACTCAACCCTGTCTCAAAATTTAGGTTGTCCTAAGGAGATGCTTGCAATTACTACAGTTCCACATGTATGCCCAACAGTTTATTTATATTAAAAAAACAAATAAGCCAAACTCCTCTGTGACTCAGCAGCAATACAGTTAGCACACAAAAAATATTAACCCCATAGTTCATAATGCTGCCAGTGTTTTTCCTCCCCTGCCTTTGATCTTCAATATTCATATCATTTATATCAGCAGCACTCCCTGATCACCTCTGCTCCTGGATTTATTGAGAATGTGTAAGGCCATACACACATAAAACACAGAAGGTTTTTTAAAGCAGTTCTTATGAAGTCAGTTGTTTAAACAGAAGAAACAAAATCTTTCTTTCATAAATGAACCCCAGTTGCTTAGTCAAGCATTTTTTCCCCCTACAGAATTCAAATTATAAGTAGAAAGATAGCACAGCCAAGCATTTTTTCCTTGCTGTTGACTTGGATAGTCAAAATCATCTCCACAGCAATTGAAGCATTACAAACAAGGTCCAAAAGGTTTTCCTGTAAGGCATAACCACGATTTTACCTCAAACTTTCTTGGCAAATGGATATCTAAATAAATTCTTCAGCTCTTCAAAACAGAATTATTTACTGTTTTTAATATCAGTCAGCACAGAGTTACCATAGTTTACTTTAAAATGTTGGTCTGCCATTAGCACATTTCAAACTGGTACTCTTCTCCATCCTCACCAGTTGCACAAGAAAGGAGAGAGGAAAACAGAAAACTGCCTCTAATGTCTAACTTCTCTCCCAAACCAGAAATAGATACAGCTGAAAGATTTGGAAGGGAAGTTTGTGGGCTTGTTTGTTTTAATGAGATCTTATACTCTCATTTCTCCTGTTCCTATTCACAGAAGTTTCAAAATTAACAAGTCTAAGTCTTAATTCCTTTTGAGACAGTGTATCCATACAAAATCCATCACGTTTGTAATTTGGTTTTTGTGCCACACTTCAAGACTCTTTTCTTAAGAAAAGCACATGAAGTGCTTACCCAAGCAAGTATATACCAAGTCATCTGGGCTTAAGCACTGTGATTGCCTCAGGGTCCCAAAAGCGTTGTAGTATGGCAATAGCAACCATCCCATCATAATCTCCAGCATCTTTTACTTTCTATGATCAAACACTTCCTGCTGCTGGTCACAGGGAACTCTTAATGCAAGGATATGCAAACAGCAGGTTGCCCCGACAGGACTATCTCGTGACCCGAACTTCCGTCTTACACACGGCTACTTCAAGCCTCAGAACTCCTCTTTGGGACACTTGTGAAGGGCAGACATGGGAAGATGAGGTGTAGAAGGGTAGAAACTGTGAATCCGTAATTCTTGATGAGCAAAGCTGAGCAGCAGTCATTTAGCAAGGCCTGCAGATGTGTGCTTCTGATACATGCAGGTACATGTACGTGCTTCAGCCCTGGGACTCGGTCTTACAAGACTACTTACTCTCTGCAGGTAGTATCTAAAATAGGTCGCAGTCTGGCATATATTTTAACTATTAGAAGAGCAAAGCTTACATTAGCTGTACTGGCCTACCCCGGGGTAGTGCCAATCAGCCAGACTGGAATCTATTCAACTGTAAGTTTCTATACCACTTTGGCAGTATTCCAAGCTTTAGCTGTTTGATTTCAGGTATTACTTTCAAGTGGTTGCATTATCAGGTTACTCTTTCCTCTTATACACTAGTAGTTTAAATTAACCTATTTGGAATTAGCCTCTGGCAGCAACAAACAGCACCTCCTCCCAGAGAGCCTGACTTCTCATCAGCTGTAATCTTCACCTAGCAGTGTCAGTATGTTTGCTTTTTCAACAAATGTAAATGTTGCATTAAAGTGACATCACAGTTTGTTAAATCAGCCCTGCAAATATCAAAGTCAATAGTTCAGTTCCAATTTAGCTCCCTTGTTTATTTTTTCCATGATAATATCCAACCTTGTTCATCATGCTTACAAGCCACTTCTGATGACATGCTTGCCTCATTCAACATAGATGATGGCCTTACAAGAAGTATAAAGCCTGTAGAGACATTCCTGTTCAATACTGAACCATTAAAAACAATCCCAGGATATTTATTAGTTGTATACTTATTTCCTGGGTGAAACTGTGGGTACCTAGGCTCGGGATTGAAGGCATTCTGGTTCAACCATAAAAGCAGGAAGATACACTTCAACAGTAACACATGAGACTGTATTCGGGTCCCAAACTGATCGCAGTCTTAATCTGAATCTGGAAAAGACAGAACTGATCTCTCCAGTTTCCAAGGGCACAGGGAAGTTAGAATAGTAGCTTTACTACTGGTTCTTCTCGGGAGTAACTGCTTCACAGAGCAAGCACACTCCAACTTTTAACTCAAATAAAAGGTCAACAACAACAGAATTAAGGTAAAAAAACCAGATTCCTACTGAGTGAGCATCTTTGGTCACATGTTTGAATGGGATACTGGCACTGGAAAATGGGATGATAACATAGTTATAAGTTTTCTTTAGTGAAATGACAAATCCAATGTTTTGCCAATATGAACACACGCTAACAAAATTAGAAATAGTAGAGTTTAACTTTTTCTCTTTATAAGTAATTTTTTAGAGTTAAGAAGCAATGTACATTTTCACTAGAAGCACTTTTTTTGCAAAAAGTTTATAGCAGCTCCATAAATCCCTGAATTTGGAGAACCTCCCCTTAAGAACATGTGCAATTCAGCATGTCCATGAAAGTAGCAGATAGCATGAATCAATTTGCCTAAGTGCATTGTGCAGCAAATGTTTGTGCAGCAAACATTAGCCGCAAAACATAATGCCATTTTTGATAAAGGGACCCTCTGAACAGTAGCCCAAATTATCACTTCTGTAGTCCCATTTTTCCCTTCTGTCAGTAACAGTTCTAATATTTTATATTATAAAGATTTAAAACCTGTTATATTTAGTGGATGGTCTCAGAAGTTACAGTAATTAGTACTTTGAAATTAAAATATGTTTCATTTCTTGAAATTGATAGATTTCCTGTACATGCTGCAAATCACTTCTGCACAGGTATTTGGAGAACAGGTTAAGCCCACAGCTACATGTTCAGTGTACTTGTCTGGCTGGGATGGAGCATAACCAGTGGTTTTTATTACTATTGTCTTTAAAGTGTAAGGTTATGAAAAAAGGTGAACACAGCCTTCAGTGCCTCATCTCATAAGCAATAATGAAGGCATATTAATTGTTTTCACTCTTCAGAGGGAAAAGAACTCGGAACAAAGAACATCCTTCAAGTTTAGCAGTCACCATCTAGATAATGAGCACCTAATCACCACTCTCAAACTGTATAATTTTATTTCAATTTCAAAACACAAAAAAAAATAGGAACATTGTTTTTAAACAAAGCTTACCTTTAGTTTCTTATTTAGTTTACAGCAGTATCTGTATAACATTGCCAAATTTAAAGGTCCAAAATCTCCATAGAAACTGGGGAAAAAAAACCAAAAACCAGTGTTATTTATACAAAAGAGCTAGGCAAATTTCAATGTCCACGTTGTTGATAATTAAAGCTGCAAATTAGTAACTTTTGCAGGATACAGAGTAGCCAATATACATGGAACAACAGATAAGTCCTTCATTGGTTCATTTAAGAGGACAACAGTAACAATTAATTTGAACTCATTTGTAGCTTCAGTTTAAGATATTCCAGTAACTACCTTTCCCATTATATACACACACTAACTACAGAATTTTTTTCTTCATCCCATGATATGCAATCTGGTTTTGACCAAAACTATAGAGTAAAGAATATCAAGACATGATCTACATTTAAGCCATGTTGACATCCTAGATAAAGATTCTACAACTGCTTAAGATGAAAATATATCCTTACCCAGTATTAAGAATAAGCTACATAGAATTTCTTATGGGTAATAAAATTTATTGAATTATGTCCAGTCTTGATCTGTCTGAAAATTAATCATATTTCTTCATATCCCATCCTTCACTATTCCAGAGATTATATATTACATATACACTTTATGTTGAATTATTTTTCCCTTTGTCCCATAATCCTCATCTCAGACTGTTCTTCCAATCTATTATTTATTTCATGTTGTCAATACCAACTCCTCATTGTTCTTGTTTCTCTCCTAGATTTCTAAACAATCTCTTCTAGAGCTTTCTCCCTCTCCATTCATTGTGCAAAACTGCTCAAAATTTAAGCTTCCCCCAATAATTTTCCTTTTGTGTACAGAAATCTGTCTTGATGATCTTTTTGGTGCTTATAACTTCGTTAATATCCTCTTCCCCACATTCTCTCAAATAAGAAAGCCAAGAGCAGTGCAAAAAAGAGACAACTGTGTTAGTCTGATCACTGTCTAAGACAAGTAGCCTGCCTGCCACACCAATGCTATTTCAGTATCATCTACTTTACAATATCAAGTAACAATGTAAGTGTTGGTTAAGATTCAGTTCAGCCCTTCAGAACAAAATATTAAGATGTAATTACAGAAGCTAACTAGCTGGATGACAGAGCAAGCTATCCAACTACTAGGACTTTATTTGCAGGTTGTACAGAAGTAACCAACTCAAGAGGAAAATCCAGTGGCAGTAAAGCAGGGCTTAACTTCAGAACTCCATCTCAGCTAAGTCTCCAGATGCAGTCAACAGTTATAGGTATTTTTAAAATAAAACCCTCCATATGATTTTTCAGAGGTGAAATAAAAAAGTTCTAGGGACAAGTATGAGTTATGACAAAAAAGAAATTAAAACTGGAGCTCTAACAACACTGTAGCTTCTAGAAAAGCCATATAGAAGGCTTACTAACATCTGTCCCCATACTGCTGCACTAACACCTTCTTCAAATAAAAAAAAACCCCACCCTGTCTTGCTCCATTAACTTTATTCTTTCACTTAAATATATGATGGAAGAGTAGAACTTAGGATTTAAAGATTATTTTTGAAAAAATACTTTTTAAAGTATTGTGAAACAACATGGAATGTGATAGTTACTATAAAACAGAATACTTTTTTAAAAACCATTGTGAGCAAAGTAGCGGAAAGATTTAATGGAATACACAGTTCACCTAAAGAACTGAAGAACTCTATAGGCCATGCTTTAGGATAAGTTTTTATTTTATTACTATTCATTTGCTAGAAGTACATCAATATTTGGAGTCATATATCCACTTCTACTTTTCCACATGATTAAATTCAAACAGAAGTACAGCAGAAGTACACAAAAATTAATTTACAAATTTGTCCAAAACAGACAAGTTACTATTTTCATGGCAGAAGGATAAAATACATTTGAGTCTATCCATGAAGCAAAGTGAAGCTATTAAGCTTCTCAGCCATCGAGTGAAAGATGTCACAATCTTTGACTGTCTATTTCTCCATCACCTATTCCCATTAAGTATGGTGTGCTTCTCTTAACACAGTGGAGGCCAGGGGCAGAAGTATCTGTGTTTAAGTCTCTGGTCATGTCACCATTTGTCTGTGCTGCAGAAACAAAATATTTCTCAGAATCCAAACACAATCATAAAGGAAAGGTACTTTTAGTCAGTGCTGCACCAGTACTACTACTACACAAAACCACTGGCAATTCCCAAGTTATTTACATAACACCAGGTAGGCAGTATAAACCAGCCACTGGCTTTACTTACAAAACACTGGGGTTTACATGTGAGGCAGAAAGGTTATGTTACATGCATAATTTTAACTTTCTCCACTTAATACCTCTAAAGTGAAATAAGTTGGATTATCCTTTTTTTTTAGTGGGGCTAAGTGAAAAGTGCTTTACAAACCTCCAAATCAAAGAGTTCTCTGAAAGATAATACAAGGCTCTGTACTGAAGTCAGTGAACTCTGATCTACAAAATCTTCCTTCAATTTACATCCTTAGACCTAAACACAATTTCTGACATGTTTAAGAAGAAGGGTTTAATCTTATGCACCCTCATTACTTTTTCTATAAAAACCCATTTATATACTTGAATTAGAGACACTTGATCCTGACTCACCCAGAGAATTTTCATCTTAAGAACAGAATTTTGACATACAGTTAAATGTAAGCAGA